GTCTTGCTCTACTTTTTTAATTTGTAAAACATTAGGTAGAGAATGTCACCAAAAAGTTACAAATAATATCCATCACAAGATCTCAGAGTCCAAGGACATGTCTTCAAATAATGACCGACTGTCCAAAGCCCAATATATAGTCAATTTATTTATAAAACAGAGAAAAGCAGCTAATTGTCAAATTTGAGAAGCTGGAACTATAGAGAATGATGACTTATAGACGATTAATCAGTTTTCTAAATCTTTGTCTGTTAATTTGAATTGTCTCTTAAATTGACTAATTGTTTGAGCATTGGAGTTTGTCTTTGAGTTTTGATCAGCAAACACTAACCAGAAAATTCTCTGCTTGAACTTGCCGCCATTTCCTGCCTCTGTCTCTGAAATCAAAGAATTTATCTGACACTTCTGGTCTCCAAAAAATATTAACAAATCCTTGAAAACATTGAGCTTTATTTTGGGTACACAGCAACTGTATACTCCACTTTTCTGTTGACCATTTTTAACACGTTTTAGATTCTTTCATATATTTTTACTACCCTCTAGAGCTTTGTTTCTTCTTACCATACACTATGAAAATTAATTAGCATTGTTGAAACCTGCTACAGTTGGATAACGCATAAAGTTTATTTATTATCAGTACATGGTAATGAAGTTGTAAGGGCAGATTGATTTGGGAAGTATGCACTGCACAACTTTACAACAATATATATGCAAGTTTAACAAAAAAATAATGCCTTCTTGATGTGATGTGTGATGGATTACACAATTCAAGAAGGTTTTCAATGTCTCTTAATTTATTTTCATACCTTACAAAAATGAATGGAATCCAATAGAGGACAGTGATGGAGAGAATATGCATTCAAACAGGTTTAGCTGTTATGTTATGTATTCATGAGTTTCAGTAAATAGACGTAAACATGCAAAATCACAGGTCCTTGTAAATGGGTTAAGAAAAGTATATTTTAGTTAGTGTTATTGTATTCCTGCTTACACTGTGATGTTGCCCACTTCTACAAAGGAGTAGACAAGAGACAGATGTTTTTAAAAAGGATCCTCAAATTTAAAGCATCAGAGGCTGAAATATTGTATAGTATTCCCTGATAGGAGTCAAGCTCCAAGAACACTGCATCCTGTATTTCCCATAATGCAACTGTATAGTGTCATTTTCATTAGATCGACTGCTTGGTAAATGCCCAGGTCTTTTGACAACTTTCTAATTTGTAGTCTCAAAGTCCGAGATGAGAAAACGCTACAGACATCACTCTGACACCATGGTTATTTTCTCAGACTGAGTAGTATTAAATGTGATGAGTAAATTAGCTCTGTGTCTAGTTTCCCTTCAATATTTACCTGACTACCTTGCAAATACTATAAGGAGCTCGCTATACAGAAATGACCTGTTTATGAGTAAAAAAATACTCATGTCACTCATTATAACTCGCACCTCTCTCTCTTGGCAAAGGTCTACAGAGTGAATGTGATACATTTTGATTGATCTTGTTGAATTCATTTTCCATTGGTACGTAGTAAAGAATTATCAGTTGACTGTGTTTCTCTCTCACTGTGCACAGGGAACAGCCTGGCTCTGACCAGACCAGCACTGACCTGCTCAAGTCCAGCCGCAAGTTCTGCTGGTCCAGAGAAGCCCAGTACTTGTATCTCCGCCGCCTCTCTTCACGCAGCTACTCGGCTATTATGATGGTAAGTTGTTTACATGATGCTTGATGTGACACAGAGTCTGGTTTGGTGCTAGCTTTGTCTCTAAACTGTATATGTGGTCCTGTTAAATCCCTACTGTGTGTTACAGTGTTTACACATGTCTACACTCATACTCCACCAGTTTTAGATATGTTCTGCTATTAAAGCATTAGCATTAGCATGTATTATACTGTAGAGTTGCCCCTGTGCTGTCAACAGCCATGGCCAGAGGCATTATGTTTTTAGGTTGTCAGTCCGTGTGTGTTCTGTCCCATTCTCGTGAATGCAAACGCCTTGAGGGAATTTCTTCAGATTTGGCACAAACATTCACTTAGACTTGGATTTGTTGGCCAAAGGTCAAAGGTCAACCTCACAAAACACATTTTTGGCCATACACAAGAATTCATACGCTAATTATGACAGAATTTCACACAAATGTCTCGGAGGATAAAATGACGAAGTGATGACATTTCATATCCAAATGTCAGAAGTCAACTTCACTGTGAGATCAAAATGTTCCTGGCCATTATTCATCGCCATGACTCAGAAACAGAAGGGGAGATTGTGACCATATTTCACATTTGGTCCGATACTGAACTGGTGATGCTATTCTTGGGTGCTCACCTTGAACCTGTGGTGATTGTATAGATCATCTGTGCTGCCAGGTTGAAAAGTCATCACTACATTTATCACAGGAGTCTGGACAGGCACAGTCTGGTTGGTTGTGGCGGCGTACAAACGTGGTAGTTACCTCTGCCGAGGAGGTTATGGATTCAATCGTGTCTGTGGGTTTGTTTGTCTGTCAGCAGGATTACATAAAAAGTACTGAACTGATTTGCATCACACTTGCTGGAAGGATGGGTTGTGGGCCAGGAAAGAACCCATTCATTGTTGGTGCTGAGCTGGTTTAAGCGGTTGATGCAGAAATTTCTTATCACTTAACTTTGAGAGATAGAGCATTTTTGACATGATGCTTTAACTTTTGTCAGTTTCTGAGGAAATAATGTAATAATGGATCTTGATGTAAGAAATCGGACGTATTAATAGTGCTGAGCTCTGTGACTTTGTACGGTTTGGTGCAGGATCTTACAGACATGTGTATGCGCTGTGAGAGTGCCATTTATGTTGTTTGAATCCACATCACATGCAAGCATGAGGCCGCTACTTTCATGATATCTCTTTGTACACATACTGGTGGATGAATTTTTCAGTAAAAAAAACTAAACCTGTCATTTATTTCTGTTATACTGTGAATTCTGTGTCTTGTTGGCTGTGAGTTGCTGGTGTGAAAACCCCTCAGTTTAATCTTACTGCTGATTTTCATCCTTTAACATCACATTGATGATTGGGTGTTTCTCTTTTGATGAAAATTTTATGAATTTTAATCTTATCATACTCATAATCCCATCATTGGATAAGATGAAAATGCATCCTTGCATCTTTTTTTAGTGTGTCTAAAAATAGTTGGTAAGCTGTAAACAAGGCTGCTTCTCCCCTGACACAATGATTATTTTGAAAATATGAATGACTTGGTGTCTCCCAGACTTCTTTCATGTTACCTTATTTGAATACAACTACGCTTTAGTGACTCGTCCTGCATCCAGGATGATGACTAACCAGGGAGACATGTCATGTCCCAGAAACTTCATTGTTTTAATGACTTGGTCGCACAATTTATTCAGGCCAGTGAAGCTGTTTTGCATTGGGACGGCCTATTTTAAGGTCTGTTTCTCATATTTCAGTCAATGCGAAATGTGGTCATTTGAATTAATTGACCTTAATTTTTCTTAAATTGTTGATGATCGTCTAGTTTTTCCCAGACCTTTGCATTTCATTCTTGCACAATTGCTTTCCTTAAACTGGATAGTGTTTTACCAGCAGAAAATGTTATATCATTTGTTAAAATGGTGGATATTGAAAGAAGCAGTTACATATAGATGGTATTAGGGATTTTGGACATTTTCAGGGTCAGCTGGTGCTCTTATCTGTGATTTGTTTTGTGCTGATAAAATACCAGATAAAGGCTGGCTTGAATGGATAGTATTACACACACACACACACACACACACACACACACACACACACACACGCACAGGAATAGAGAGAGAGAAAAACAACAATAGGTTATTGTGGTACAGCTGCACATGATCGTCTAGTTTTTCCCAGACCTTTGCTTCAGCGGCTCATGTATAAGAGCCTTAAATTTTTCACATAGCTCTACAGTGGCGAACCACATACCTTTGTGTACCTTTTGGTCTGGGGCTGTTTTTCATGGTTTGCAACCATAAGTAAGGAAGGAAATCTTATTACAGCATGCAGTGATAATTTTGACAATAGTGTGCTTGAGGAAGACTTTACTGTTTCAACATGACAATGCTGCTCTGCACAAAACCAGAGGAAAGGTTTGTACCAGTTTGGAGTGCAAGAACTTGACAGGCCTGCATGGAACACTGACCTCCCATCCAACACCTTTGGGATGAACTGGAATGCCGGCTGTGAGCCTGACCTTATCACCCAACATAAGTGTTGCACGCCATTCATTTTCTTGGGAGTAAATCCCTGCAGCTAGGCTCCAAATTTATGGCTGGAATGTTTTTGGTGTCCACATACTTTTGACCATGTAGTGTATCTTTCTTGTCTTGCTAAGCAAAATAAAGCAATGTGTTTTAGAAAGAAAAAAAAAAGGTAAATAAGCTATATACCTTTTTAGAGGTATTGGTGGTTGCTCAGGAGTATAATATATGGTTTCATGTCTTGGATGGATGTTAGCTGTACCTCTTCATTGCTATACAAACTTTAGACCCAGAACGAACATTGTTTTGCCTTTGGAAGGCAGTTGGTCAAAGTATAGGCCATGCAAAATCTTTTATACACTCTAAAACACAATTCAAATGAATTCCCTCTGTCTACATAGATGTTATTTTTAAATAGTCTTTTGTCTTTCTCAGAATTATGAACTGTAGTATGCCGTATTAAATCTGTTTTTGTGTGTCTGTCTGGGAGCCTCACAGCAGGCTCCCTAAAAATCAATGAGAATTTTGGACTGATCCATCCCGGCGGTATTAGAGGTGTAAGCCCCCTCCATACATACATATGTATATATATATATATAAATATTTATGATGCTTTCAGTGGTTCGTTATAACTGATAACTAAATAAATCGGTTTTTTTTTTTTATCAAACGAGGTTAAGTTTACTTAATGTTGTTTCTTTTTCCTGTTATCTATCACAATTCCTAAATTATAATCCTCCCCCCCTGCTTTCATTTGGTATAATCTGAGCCAAACAAGGAGTAGTCGGCGCTAATTTTTGCCCTGAAACTCTACTCTTCATGTTTTTATCAAGAAAAGTGCGTCATTCAATGTGAAGAAGACGAGACTTTCACATCTTTTGTAGTCTGGATTTTTTAATTACTTCAGAATTGGTCTACATCCGACTGGAAACATTTAAGTAGTAGCTGTTTTGTTTAAATCTTCAGTACCAGTCCCGGACAGTTCAAAGTGCGTGATGCCAGTAAACGGAGGGGGGCTGCTCTCTCTGAGCAGATATGCCACTCAGTATTTCGCCGTAAGTACAAACATAGTTCATTTCACAATACTTATAAATACAGAAATCGACAGATAGTAGCATTGACATACTGCTGTTACGGTGTTTTGTGTGTGAAGTTATAGTTTTGAGGGAAAGAAGTTATCCGGAGTTTCCCATTTGAAGCCTGTTGCATCCTGCTGCACCTGCTGTTATAGCTGTCAGCTAACGGTACATTAAGAAACACGTTCAAAGTTAATAAACCCTGCGTAAAATGTTGTTTTATCGCTGTTACTCCAGCTGATGTATCGACTTTTAACGACGTTTCTTGTCTGGTTTCAATAACAGTGCGCTGTTTGTCCAGTGGTCAAAACATCTTTGCATCCTTTTTAATTATCCTCTATACTTCTCTATATTCTCCACGTTATTTAATAACTGCGATACGGCCGTAGTGTGTTACAAACTAAAGGCTACACATGTCCAAGTCTAATATAATGGCTTTTCGTTCCTGCTGTGTTGATGTGTTGATCTTTGTTGTGCCTCACGCTGTAACTCAGCTCTGTCGCCAGGAGGGGGCAGACTTGTACAAGGTTTCAGCAGTAACTTCAGACTAGTGAATGAAGGATTGTGGGTACTTATTATTTTAATTTTTAAAGTACCGTAATTGTTTTATTCATTGCATGGTGGTTTAAGTGTCATTTTTAAAAAAAAATTGGAGTTCAGCACCTTATACAGTGCACTAAAATTTCTACACAATTTTTCATTTTTTCTGTGCAGTTTCAGAAAAAAAAATCAGTTTTATTTTCTTTCTCTCTATTACATGTCCAGCTCCCTTGGTGTCGGTGCTGTTAGTATCTCAGACAATACGAGCTCTTCTTGAATAATGACTTGAATAATTGATTAGTTGATGGGCTGAAAAATATTTGACAACAATTTTGGTCAGTCAGTTGAGTCATTTTCCTGCACAAATGTCAAACATTTTCAGGTTTAAGGAATTGCTGCCATTTTCATTAAGTATTATCGTAAACCGAATATTTTTGGAGTTTGGACTGATTGTCTGGCATAACAACAGATGTGAAGACATCACTATGGGCATTTTTTGACATTTTATAGATGAAACAATGAATTAGAAAAAATAGTCAGTAGATTGACAGATAAAAAAGTAGTTGTTAATTGCATCTCTACTGCACACTGAGATACAAAGGCGTTACTTGGCATAGATATTATAAACATATACATACAAAAATATTGTGTCATTTGTCATGAGAAATTGTGTAGGAATGTAATGGAAAAGATTAAATATACGTGAAAATACATTTGTATAGTGCACATACAGTATGTAATAATTCCTATCAAAATTTATTTGTCCACTGCTAAGAATCACTTTTGCAACCATAGAATAAGAAAACAAATGATGACTAGGATTTTGTATTATGTTTGAATATGAATGTGACCTAAAGAGGCTTTTAACTTTGTGTAGTTTACTTAGTTTTGATTAAAATCTACCCAGACATTCTATGTTTCTGGAGTCTACTCTGTCTGTAAATAATTTGTTTTGTCTAAATAAGTCACGTCCTGCGCGGATGACCCAGTATTTCAACCTCCCTCCTCATTAGTGGAAATGTGCTTGTGTTTTGTTATGTAATGGCCCACACTCAGGAGAATACGACTTATCCAGCAGGCCTGCCTGCAAGCAGCCATCACAATCATATCACATTGTACAAGAAGGCAGTCTGATTAAAACTGGTTTGGCCTTGGCAGAAGCACTTTCATCAGCTGCTTCTAAGTCATTTATCTTGCTTCCATTAGTTGAATGTTTCCTCTATTAACACTTAGTGCTGTTCCCCTCTGCTGGAGTTTTTTTTTTGCCTGTCTGGTGCAAAGGGTTGTCAAAATGAATAAGCAGAAGCAAAAGTTGATTTGTCACTTGTTGTGAACAGAGAGAGTTTCTTACTCAACAATGGACAATTATTGGACGAGAAGATTTTGTCTCCACTTGGTTAATAAGAGCAATTTAAGATGAAATTCCATATGGACAATTTTTTCAAATGGCAGCTAAAACAAAAATCATCGGCTCTGTACTCTATAGGTAATTTTTGTCTGTTTTCATTCACACAGTCCTCTTGGCTCTCTGTAGTGTCTCTGCTGCTGCCACTGGTCATTTGGTTTTCCCTTGTGGGCCAGAAGATCAAAAAAGTGGGTTATGATGGGTTAGCTGCCAGCCTGAGTCGTGCCCCCATTTCACTAAGCCTGGGCCTGAGATGTCAGCGACACACAGATTTACCAGAAAAACCTAACAACTTAAAATCTCAACCATTGTCCTGTCAGTAACATAAAGTTGCACCTTGCCCACATTTGTGGACGGTTTGTCTTTGTAGATGTGTAAATCATGTCTAAAACTTTGACGGTTGTCTGTTGTATCTCATTAACTGAGCAGGAATCAAATCGTAAGATGTTTTGTGTGATTTGTTGTTGTGTTTATGGATGAACACTCAGGAGTTTAATCACCGCGTGCCTGTGCAGGAGTTGGTGTGTCTGTATGTTTACACTGCAGACGGTGGGATTTGTGCTGAATGTAGGCCAGCAGAATCCCTCTTACGTCAAAGGCAGGCAGGCGGGCAGATGCAGGGAGAGAGCTGCTGGTGGTTGTGCAGCTGTGGCCATGGAGGAGGCTGTGGCGCACATCAGTCTGCCACAGCACCGCTGGCGGTGAACAGGGAGAGAAGCAGATAGGAAACAACGGAGAGTGCCAACAATGAAGACTGTCCTCAGCCTGCACAGGAAATGGGCCCACGCGGTCAAGACCATACGCATCCTGCAGGGACTCGTAAGTGCAATTCTGCTAACATGGCTCAGATTTGGGCAAGTTGACCGGTTCTGTTATGGATGGATATGAGTGTTTTTGTTTAAGCAAACTGACTGGTTGTATAGATGTTGTCTAGAAAAGTTGTTTTGAGTTTTGTTGTGAAATTAGGGATCTGAATTCGCAGAAAGGTGACACCAACTGTTGTAAAATAAATATTTGGGATCAAAATTAATTATGATATTTTCAAAGGGTAGAAAATGATGTAAAAAGTTTGTCAAAATCAAAACTGACCCATGGTTCATTTTATAGAGAAACTGTGGTATGGTCTGTGTTTTTGGATATTGGAAATCAGCTTTTCACTTGGTCTTAAATGATGGAATATTTGTGACAAAAGTTAGTTTGTACTTCATTAGGACCAATGGGTTGATTGGATTAATTGATCTGTTGCTTAACAGGAAACAGGATTGATGATCACTTGATTATGTAGAGTTCAGAAAATGAAAGGATGATACTGTTTTCAGCTTCTCCAATTCCAAGGTTTGTTTGTTTTTCTCTGGTTCAGATGATTGTATGTTTGACTGTCAGACAACGCAGCCAATTACAAGACAGTGGTTTGGCCCGTGGCTTCTCTTGTTAGGCTTGACAATTAATCAAAAAATAATTGAGATAGATAAATTGATTAATAAATTAAAAGTGAGTTGCCGTCCTAAACCTTGCAGGGTTGTCAGTTTATTGGTTGTTAACTGACCAGAGGTTTAGCAGATGTGTATGTTACGGTTGATTTAACCTGTTGATGGTTTCATTGAACCGTCAAAAGAAGAAGCGCTTTCATCCTGAATTATTTTTAAGTGCTTTTTAAAGAAAGCGCATGGATGCTCAAGTGTCCTAATCAATATTTAATCAACACGAGTCAAAAGTTTTTCAATCAAACTTGTTGTAAACAGCCGTGCAGAGACCTGTCATTGTTCTTCTGGGAGCCGCCAGTTGTGTAACGATAACATAGGCTAATGAACTGGCTTTGTCGTTACATCATGTAATACATTATTAATCTGTTCAGTGAAACAAAACCTACCATGGTAATCTTTCCTTTCTCTCCACAGAACCCGGTCATGGAGGAGACTGTGTGGGAGCAGTACACTGTGACCCTGCAGAGGGTGAGTCCACCTGCACCCAAACACACCAGATTTACATTATTTACATTACAGCCATAAACCCGGGCTGTTATTCCCAGTGGTCCGCAGGTAGAGCATTTAAATTAACTGGTTTGACATGTTCTAGTCAGTAAAGAGCGCCCAGGCTATACATGTAACAGGCACTCTCCTGTCATTTGACGGAGAGCCAGAGAAAACTTAGGCAATCATCAAAATGTCTGTAATAAATTAGTCTTATTCCAGGTATTGGTAAATTTGCCAAACACTTTGAAGAGCAACTTTGGCCACCTGGACCCCATGATTTAGCCAGGGCCAAAGATACCACTGAGGACACCAATGTCATGTCGTCTGTAATATTTCTTGTATCTTGTAAGTTTGTTGTATAATTACACACCTACTGTACTACACATGTATTTAAGGCTCATACTGATGTATCTGTAGGTGATATATTTAAAAAAGAATTAACCTAGAGATCGTCTTACCATTTGATCACACCAACCGTGATGCCAGGCAACCTGTTGATGTTTAGACCCATAAATAGTTCTCACTACGTTATTACATGAGTACTCGGTAGTACTACTTTATTACCAGGCTTGTATTGTTTTCACCTGGCAAAATGTGGTTGTGAAAACACCTACTGTAGGAGGAACTACCACAGAGATGGTTTTGAGTAATCTGGCAGGTGTTTATGTCTGTAGACAAATAATGTCACTGCGATGACATCACAACTGTGGAAGATACAGTCACAAAACATTACAGATGTGTAGTTGCACAATGAAGGCTCAGGTCATAAATTGGTGCGGTATGACCAATGAGTACTGAGTACTCATGTAATAATGTAGTAATAACTACTGAGTGCTCATGGGTCAAAACGTCAACATGATGCCGGCGTCCCTGCTGCTGGTCTCTAATTAAAACAGAAGAGATTTAGTATTCGAGAAAGCCCTAAAAAGCCACTGTGTGCTACTTACTCAGCTGCAAATGACAGAGAGACAAAGTTAGCAACTAGCAGGTGAACACAGTGGAGACCAGAGTGCTCTAAATGAATGCTAATGTTTCTTTTTACTCAATGTGCAAATTAAGCCACTGTTGTACAGGGTGATAATATTTTTACAGACATTGTCCCCAAGTCTCCAAAAAAATGGGTTGAATTGGGTTAAATCTTAAATGTTGGCAAAGTGGGTGCCAGCTTTTGGTACTTAACAGTGTCCAATACTTAGTGATATGTTTTAAGTGATAGTAGAAATAATCAGTAGTTCCAGCCATGTTACAGCTTCTTGATTCACATCTTTATTATTTTTAATATGTCACATTTGTACCACATCTAGCCCACGGCTAATTGAACCAGATTCTGCGCTGTTGTTCATGTTAAACACGTGTACGACTATGTGAGCAGAGCAAACCAGTTGAGCTTAGGTAATCATTGTGATAAGCTCATTGTTTCGTGCTGCAGTTCACTGAAGCCAGAAAAGCAGATTTAGAGCAAAAGGTCCTCTGCTGCAGGCATGTGACCCCTGACTCTCAGCCCCTCCACAGCCAGCTGTCACACTCTGCTCTGTACATCCACTTTTTATTCTCTTCTGCCATTTGGCAACTGAGTATTCTCTTTAAACATGACCTCTCTGCTGCTGCAGAGTCCCAGACATTCATTGCAATATTCATCACATATCATAACATTACATTACATTACATTACATTACATCTGCTCCTTGACCAGAATATACCTCATATCTTCTGGTTAATTTAAAAATAAAAACAAACAAAAAAAATACACATACACAAACATAAACCTTAAAAATCATTGCAATATATTACAAGCATATTATTACAAGCAAATACAACAGGCACATAACACACAAAACATGTAAAACACACCAGGCAAATATAAAACATCACATAAAGCAGACATATTGTTAACAGCTGTTGATGAACAGAGAATACAGACATAACAATGAATCAATGAGTTCAGAATATGTTCTCCAATTAATATAAATCAGTTTAACTATGTTCAAATAGCAGCACACCCAAAGTGTATGGTTGAATCAACGGTTGAACTTGTTTTGTTTGTGAATGTGTTTTGTTTTCTCTGTGCAGTCACATTATACTGAATGAAAAGCAAAAGCAAACATGAATCCTTCCATGTTTTCCAGTAACACACAGGAAGAGATTTTAGATTTCATAGTTTAATTGGCAAAGCAAGACTTGATATGATGAAAATGCTTGTCTTTGGCAAAGTCAAGTAGGTATTAGGTAATATAGGCAGTATGTGAACACATCTGGAGGAGAAGACATTAAGCAATCTTCTGCTTTAACTTCCTGGCAACTGGAGACATGCCTGACAGGTCTGATCTGACTGATGAGAAAAATACAGCTAATATCCAACTTTAAAGACACACTGTTTATTTTAAACACACACAGAAACAACCTGTTCTACACCATTAAATCCCATCTTCTGTGCATCAGCCCTGGTTGAAACAATAATGTAACACAGTGGTGGCATGCTTCCTTGGCTTGACTGTTTCTGTTCTAACATTTAAATCCCTATTCTTACCACTGAAGTGATTTTCCTGTTGAGAAACTATGTGTCCGTTTTCCTACTGGGTAGAGAAGATCCTCAGGCCTCTTGGGCTCATAAGACCTTTTCAAAAATCAGATAATGTCAGACATGTTGTACTCTCGAGCTAAGATCTAGACTCAACCTCAAAAGTTGACATTTTGGGGACATCTGACAGTTACAATCTATTTCTCCATTTTTTCAGTTTGATAATTATTTGATTCTTCACTAAATATTTCAATATTTATATTATTTATATCTTTTCTCCTGTGTTCCTTCATTTTTGCCTGCGTTTGTCTCTCTGCTCACACTTTCTCCCTCCCTCTGCCTCCGTGGCCATCTGCTAGAGACAGAGGGAAGTGGTGAATATTGTGTGGTGTTTTTTTTTTTTTTTTTTTTTTTTTTTTTTTTTTAAGTACAGATGGAAGGGAGGGGATAAAGAGAGAGGGTCATCAAATCTCTGTCCTAATCTCATCTGTGCAAACTGGAGCAGTGGCAGGTAGAATCACTTGGAGTCCAAACACATTTCTAAAAGAAGGAGCCTGTAAGTTATTTGTAAATTAAAATGACACCTTGAAAAAAGTGTTTAGTACTTGTTACCATGCACAGACACGCACGCTCATGAACTCGAAAACATTAACAAGCCACGGATTAGCAGCGTTGTTAACCACACACTATAGATGAAGCTACGGAAGATGGAGAAGAGTCATACATGACTCCAGTGTAATTACAATCAGTGATCAGTGCAGGCTGACACACACCACAGGGATTACAGGACCTCTCTCACACGCACGCACGCACGCACACACACACACACACACAAACACACACTGTGACACAAAATAGACTCAACATGATTTATATGTTTTCTCTCTTTGCTCTCAGGATCCAAAGATGGGCTTTGGTATCGCAGTGTCAGGGGGGCGGGACAACCCGAACGATGAAAGTGGCGAGACATCCATCGTGGTGTCTGATGTCCTGCAGGGCGGGCCTGCTGACGGCTTGTTATTGTACGTACTGTTGTTGATTTAATAATTTTAACATGCTTTTTGTTTTTACATATTTATCTTTGTTTATGTAGATTTTTGTGGAAAGTGGACGTATTTAACCATTTAATTCCCCTCCAGAGCTCACTATTTTATGATATAATGCCATATGAAATTATATAATCCATGATGGTTACACTAACCCCTTTAGAAAAGTTGTCCAAAACAAACCCATGACTCATTAAATCAGTCAGTAAGTATAGCATTTTATTTACTTATTTACTTTATTAGTAAAGCCCCTGTAAATGTATAAAAAATACAGATTATTTTTAGTAAATTAATAAAAACTTCAAAGCTGTCCAGCATAATTTTATGGTTCAAAAGATTTATTTGGCTTCTTGCAACCTTATTGAGCCTCCAAGCATCTTTCTGAACAGAGGCACAGACATTATTGTTCCATTTGTCACTTTAGATTAATTTGAAAAAAAAAAATGCATTTATAAAAATTATGTCTTTAATTTTAGGTCTTTTAACGGTCATTCCAAATATGACTCTAGCTTGTTTGGGTCACATGAGTGTGTGTTTGTGTTTAGTGAGAATGACCGAGTGGTGCAGGTGAACGCCATCCCCATGGAGGGGGCCATCCACTCCTTTGCTGTCCAGACTCTCAGGAAGTGTGGCAAAGTGGCAAAAATTGTAAGTAAAGCTGTTGATTTGCTGTTTGAAAGTTAATTTTATTTTGTTACTTAAAAATAAAGGAATGCTCATTAAAGTTGCGTACCATGTGATCTTGAAGTTGCGTTTATATTCACTTGTTTTAGGCACATTCTTCAATTGGACATTAAAATCCTGAGTGGAAACACAAGGAATTTGAAAAAAATAAAATCATCACAGAAAAAATTTTTACTCTTGGCTGAGGTGGAAGAATAAAAGTATTTTGTGTCAAAGTGAGACTTAACAAATAAATCATGAAGCGTATGACTTAAACGTCCACTAAAGAGATGAAAAATGGCGGCAGACTGAAACATCAGATCAGTGTGGAGTGATGCAGAGACTCTGTCTCACACAAACAAATGTTTTCACATCATTATTATTTGTTTGAGGTTTGACTGGTGTCCCATAAATCATGCAATTTCGTTGTGCTGTCTTCTTCTTTGGGGGTTTAATGGCACCTGACTTGAGAAATAGCACAGCCTGCTACTAATCCTGATGAAGCAATTAAACACTCATTAATTTGCATTTTCTTTTGACAATGTTTTTGAAACTAGGTTGAAATTTTTGTTACAGTTGGATGGAAAATTGTCTTTCTTCTTACTACTACTTCCTACAAACATAACAATATGTTACAAATACAGTATATACACAAAACATATAAATAAGATGTATGAATATGTTTGTCACAGTGACCTCTGACCTTTTTGTTTTAATGAAAATATTCTTTGTCTCTGTTTACCTGCAGACAGTGAAGAGACCCAGGAAGGTTCCGGTCAATCTGCTGAACCGTCCCCCGTCACCTGATGACAGAGTCTTCAACAACGACTACAATGATGACTACAACTACGAGCAGGACCGCCGCAGTGTGTACAGTGCTCGGAGTGGCGGTGGGCGGGACCATAGTCTGGAAAGGGAGCGAGGCGGAGGCTACATGGATTCTGGCTACCAAACACGTGAGCGTGACTATGACAGGGACTATGACCAGCGGGAACGCGGCAGGAGCATGGAGAGAGACCTCAGCCCAGACCGGCAGTACAGGAGAGACGGCAGCAGAGGTCGCACTTTGGACAGAGAGCGCAGCCCGGATCGCCGCTACAAGAGCGACCACACCCTTGACCGTGACTACAGCCCGGACAGAAGGTATCGCAGTGAGCGTGCATTAGACCGGGAGCACAGCCCAGATCGCCGCTACCGCAGTGAGCGAGCCCTTGATCGGGAGTACAGCCCAGACAGACGCTACCGCAGTGAGCGAATGCTGGACCGCACCAGCCCTGACCTACGCTACAGGCGTGACAGCCACAGCCCAGGACGAGGCCACGGGCGTGACCACAGCTTTGAACGAGGGCGGGAACGCATCCCCAGTGACCCGAAGAAATATGATGAGCCGGTGAAGCGGAGTGGGAGCAGGGATCGCCTGGACCGCTCACCATCACCTGCCGCCATGCCCATCCCTCTGCCCCGCCCCATCCGGGACCTGGATCCGCTGGACAAACCAATGAATGTGCTGCTGCTGAAGAACCGGCCAAACGAAGGTGAGAAACAAACAAACCTCGTTGCTGATGTTATGGAGGTGATGGCTAAAATTTGAAATGAGACTTTTGGTACCGAAACGCATTTAACAAGTGGAGCAAACAAAGTGTTGAAGAGCATGTGAGAACATAAAGAAATCAGTCTAAAACCATCATTTCAAGTACTTTGGCAACCCTATCTGGCAACGACCATTTTGAAACCAGCAAGAGCACAAAAAAGTAATTAGTAACTCTTTTCAAGAGATGCTGAGTTAAGTCTTGAGCCACCAAGATTGTATATGTTCAAAAACTGTTAGGAGTTGGTCGCACCAGTAGCTCCCTGGTTAAACGCACATACCAAGGTTGAGTCCTTGCCACAGCGGCCTGGGTTCGAATCGTTTTGAAAACTACATCAAGAATGTGGAAGTAAGACTCCATTTTAACCATAAACTCATCAGAGTAGAGTTAGGTTTAATAAATGTAAGTTGTATAGCCTGTGTGTTGATATTACACAAAAATTATGCTTTGTTTTGTTTTTCCTTTCCATCTTTCCCAGAGTACGGCCTTCGTCTGGGCAGTCAGCTCTTCATCAAGGAGATGACCAGCACAGGACTTGCCAGCAGAGATGGGAACCTGCAGGAAGGGGACATTATACTGAAGGTAGTTTCAATGTGTTTCCTTTGCAGAATAGTGAAACATGCCCATAACAAGGTTCCAGGGGCCAAAAGGATGTTTCCAAGAAGCTTATGTTGTTTGACCAATTGTCCAAAGCTCAGAGATATTCAATTTACACTGATGTAAAATAGAATAAAGCTTCCTGATAAATGACTCGTTCCATTATCAAAATAATTCTCAATGAATTCTCCCCTGCCCCTGTGGCTGGACTAAAACTACAACTAATGTTTGCATGCCTCCGGCGGCGACAGCTTTGGTTACAGGTATTCGACTATCCATCCGTCCTTCTGGTGAACGCGATATACGCGCCCGGGAATTTCATTACGTGTCACAAACACTCAAGGGTTAGGGTCGCCTCACAGCAAGTAGGTTCTGGGTTCAGATCCCGGGCCTGGGCCATTCTGTGTGCAGTTTGCATGTTGTCTACATGGGTTCTCTCTGGGTACTCCGCCTTCCTCCTCAAAGACATGCACGTTAGCTTAATTTCCGACTCCAAAGTGCCCATAGGTGTGAATGTGAGCGTGACTGGCGACCTGTCCTGGGTTAACCCCTCCTTCAGCCAATGTCAGCTGGGATTGGCTCCAGCCCCCTGCAACACTACAAATATAAGGATGGATGTGGTAGTAAAATGTGCAGGTCACTGTGACCTCACAAAACATGTGTTTTGCCAATACCTCAGAAATTCATACGTCATTTATGATAAAATACCTTTTTATTAGATTCCATTACTACATATAATGTATGAGTCTGGACAGACATGGGTGTAAACTCCAGCTTGGCTGGTTGGCGAAGGGATCAGAGATTTGGCGGTATATTTAGTGATTTATGGAAGTGTCATATTTAGGGTCACGTAATCTTATCCATAGTCGGATCGTCCTATCAGGACCCTGTTAAATTACCGATAGGCAATATGATCAGGGAGAGGGAGGTTACGTTACCCTATTAGTGAGTGATCAAAAGAGCAAGCAAGAGAGTCTGAGTTTTGTTCATTACGCTCGTTCTTTCTCGAATACCCTCATGTCCCTGTTAGGACATGACATATGTCATGTGTTCTGTCTGTCTTTGTATCCATCTCCTCCATGTTTTATTATAGCGCCGCACCTACACACAACAAACAGCATATTAATGACAGTCAGCTGGTTGGAGTGTCTGTGTGTGTGCATGTCAGTGTTGCAAGACTCTTATGTGGGAGGATGCTGCCATCAAACTATGAATGACCAAAGTTAATATTAATTTGATACTACAAATATTAATAATATCATATGGTTGTTAGCACAGGCATAAGCTCTCTGTGATCATTCTGATGATCGTTGATCACCGAGATCATCCATCAACTCAACCCTAGTCATATACCTCCGTCATGATCCCTCTCTATAACAAAACTATTTGTACTTCTTAGGATTCGTACTGTTCCTTTGATAGTCATCTAACCGTCTCCTCTGTCTCTCTGTCAGATAAATGGTACGGTGACAGAAAATCTGTCTCTCAGTGATGCGGGGAAGCTGATTGAGAAGTCTCGCGGGAAGCTGCAGCTGGTGGTGCAGAGAGACAAACAGCAGGTGCTGATCCGAGTCCCCCCGATGGTCGACAGTGACTCGGAGCTCGATGGTGAGAGACAATCGAAAATGAAAAGCAGCAGGTCCTATCCAGTGTAAAGGCAAACCTGGCGAGTGGCCATCATCCACATATACACACCCACTGCATATGAACTTCATATGAATCAACTGTGGAAATGTTATTGCTGTTGCTGTTGTTGCTGTATTTGTCCATCAAATCTGTTTTCCCTTCATAAAAATAAAGGTTTTACTCACTCATCAGTTTTTAGTTTTATTTAAACATTAATTAATTTGTACAAATATTTTATACAGCAGGAAAAAGCACAGAGCTAACCAGAGATTCACCGAACAATCATTTTTCCTCTCCCTCCATCGCCATGATCACTCACTCTTTTATACCTGTTTTTAATGTCACATGACTACATGGTGTGCTGCAATTGGTTGGAACCAATCTAGATAAGTGGTGTGAGTGGATTGTTCACTGACCAAATGTTTGCAGGGAGGGGGTAATAGCCGGAAGACTTGTGACCCACTTTGTCTGGTTTTTGGACTCACACTGTGTGCATGTGCATGTGTGTTTGTGTGTCTGCATGTGTGAAAGTGCCCACTCGCCTTTGGCAGGGTGATCTAATCCCCCATCATAATCCTGCTATTGGATATGACAGAATTTCATTATGTTAAGGTTTGCACCGCAGCAGCCGTCTGGTTTCTGCCGTCCAGGATCCGTCTCTGTGAAGATCTCTGGGTCTGACTGTTTGTGTGAATGATGATAATTTCCAGCTCTTGTCAGAAATCACCTCAAGTGTTTCCACTTAATTTATCTCTGTAATGATATTGCAGTGCTTTATCACTCCTGTTGTGCACAGAAATGCAACTTTTCCTTTTTTCCCTAAATGTCACAGTTAATCATCTTGTTGAGTTTCAGTGTACCTTGTAAATGATCAAGAATCCGGTAGTGAATATAATTACCTGCACCATCAGATATGAGTAGTGATCTGACCTTTGTGTGTTTTTCTGCTTTCATGACCTGAGGCCAATTTGAATCACGTAAAAGCCACATAAAGTCATTTAAAAATGCAGGTGCATCAAACAGAATATAGGTGTTTTACTCTTCCGAATGTTTAGTTTTTATTACCAGAACCAGAAGATGTAACAAAAACAAAAGACCCCCGCAGACACTTCAGTCTTTTGTTTGTTACAATGTATTTGTTGTTGTGTTGTAGATATCTCAGAGATCGAGTCCTACCGCTCCTACTCGCCACAGGATGACAGGCGGGGCCACCACTCTGACCTGTCCTCCCACTCCTCCAATGAGAGGCTTAGAGAGAAGCCCAGGTAAGTTTCCGTTAAATTTTTCCGTCCCCTTAAAATTTTACCACGAGTTAGGACATGGTTGTGTTCAGGAGCTATAGAAATGTAGAAAAGGTTAAATCAGTGTCTGTGTGAAATTTCCTTTTTGAAGTTATTTCATAAATTAAAACTCATAGTATGTTGAATTTATTTTGCTTAACCCTCAACATTATCTTTAGATTGTGATGAAAGCCACAAAAGAACGGAGCCCAGCTTCAGTGAGAGATCCCCTGTGATTGTATTATCTGCTTGTTGTTAAATACAGCAGAAAAAAATCAGGATAATGCAGGATTATGTTGATTTATGCTTCATGAAGCTCAGTCAATCCATCATATTAAATCAAAAGAATTCCAGTGGTGATAATTGTGCTTTTTTTCTAAACTTGGATCTAAATATGAGGAGGAATTTTTCTGCATTGATTGGGGCTTGGGTTTGTGGTCATGGGCGTTGATGCTGACATCTGTCTCCAGGATGTCCCATTAGAGACCATCTTGTGATGGGGTCACTCCAGCCATGACTACATAATTACACAGTATTATAGTAGAGTATTCAGTACTCATGAGTCAGACCACACCCATCTCTGAACTCGGCCTTCATTTTGATGTCAACTACACACCGTTAAAGTTTCATGACTGTATCTTGGTTGTGACAAACACACATATAAACACATGTCACAATAGTCAAAGTGCCTCTGGTAGTTCCTGCTACAGTAGGTGTCTCTAGGACCAAATTTTTCCATGATGACACACACACACATAATCTTGTCTGACTTTTGTCTGTCTAACCTGAATATTAACACCAAGTCTTAACTTTCAAAAAGCCCTTTGAAGTTGAGAGGACCAGCCAAAATGTCCTCACAACCATAGAAAGACATGTCAACACACAAACACACACACACACACACACGCAAACACACATGCAAACCAACTTGTTTCGTTTCCCCTGGGGGAACACTCATCACACACACAATGCATTTTACCCTAGCACAACAAAAACCTAATTCTAACTCTAAAACCAAATTCATTTTTGTCCTCTAAGGCACTCAAGTCCCCATGGATGAGTGTGTATTCAGGTTGAAGTCCCCATTGGCATATAAAAACAAGCCCACACACACACACACACAAGGTGAAAACAATACCAGCCACGCTGTCACAGCTGGTAATTAGACATATTCTGATTCTTGTATTCATGATCTTAGCAGAGAGGAGCCGCCCAACAGGCTGGCAAAAATGGGTGCCATGCCAACACCATTCAGAGTTCCTGACAGAACCGTGGAAGACACACCCCCTCTGCAGACAGAGAGGGAGGATCCACGACCGGAAACACCGCCAGGTGAACATGTTTCTCCCTTTGAATGTATAAAGCTTTGATAATGCACCAGTTGATTTGAATCATTAACATGTTGGTTTCTGGTTCTGTAGTACCAGCCGTCACTGCAGCCCCAAAGGTTCATGCTCCTCCCAGAGTGCCAGTAAAGCCAAGCATAGAGGACCAGGAAGTGTATGGGTCAGTATCTCACAAGTAATTCAGGATAACACTGTCACAACACTGATTCCTCAGTTTGCTCTGGGCTCTTAATCCACCAGAATTGTATATTAATCTCTTTTTTTTCTTTCCTTCTTTTTTTTGTGATTTTGCATGATGAAATTTTGCTGGCACGTTCAGCCCAAATACAGTGAAGGTGCGCTTCCAGAAAGGTGACAGCGTGGGTCTGAGGCTGGCAGGAGGAAATGATGTCGGCATCTTCATCGCCGGCGTTCAGGAGGACAGCGCGGCTGAGCAGGAGGGTCTCCGCACAGGAGACCAGATCATGAAGGTGAGGCTTCTTTTATCCCACATTCAAAACCTGTAGATAAAATGTTCAGATGATTCAATAGCATAAGATGCAGAATGGTGTTAATCGGGATCCAGATTGGGCTCTGAACAGTGTGTACTGTGGTACTGATGGTTAAAGAATGAGACTGCTGATTTTCTATACTCCTTTCCAGAAACTGTGAAAGTCGCTATCGTTGTTAGTCTGTGGAGCTGCTTCTAAATAAACACAGTGCCCCTATTTTTCATGATGAAGAAAAATGCTGCCCAGTGTAACAGTGTGGTTCACTGATGTTTTTAAAAGGGTTTGGACAGTGGAGCTCTCTGACACAGTGGAATAAGCTAAATCAGGTTGCACAATACTTGTTATTAGGATGCATTCATTGTTTATTATCTTTCTGGATATTTTGACAATAATAAAAATACAGAAATTTGCCATCCTTATTCCTTAAAGATTACAATAAACAAAACATTGCGACAGAAGACGTACGATGAAGAGGAATATATTTAAATAGTGTAAAAACAAAACAATTCAAGGCACAATCCATGTTGTAAATGTAAACCAAAGGCAGGATTAGTACCTGCTGTTTCTTCTAAAGTGATTAATTGTCATGTTGTGTTTATTAGGATTTATAATGGGTGACTGTAGTGCCTGTGATCTGGTGTCTGATGTCTTTATGTGAAAACATCCTATTTAACCTTCTAGTCATGTGATAATATTTCATGTAATCATATAATAGTCTGTTCTCTGCTGTAGCACTGTTTCTAATGGTATTTCTTGTCTGTTTTGTCTGATTCAGGTGAACAACATGGACTTCAGAGGCATGGTGCGTGAGGATGCTGTTCTCTACCTCCTGGAGATGCCCAAGGGAGAGGATGTAACCATTCTTGCTCAGAGTAAACCTGAAGGTACTTTACTTTATAGATACTGGCTGCTAGTAAAACCAGTACAAATACTTATTGCTGTTAATGACAAAATGCTTAAAAAATAGCTCAAAACAAATACAGTAAAACTTCTACACATTAAAGGTAACAAACACCTGTGTAAAGACTTAACTTAAAAAAAAAAAAAAAGGTGATATGAATTCAAAGCCAGTGAAAGTGTCATGTTGTCAGAATTATGCAAGATTTTTGGATAAATTTACAGATACACACCAATGTCAGTGTTATCTTGTTTTTTGCCATGTGGTGCTCTATGTCCACTTTAGTAGACTGTGAAGTTGAGTCAGTTATTTTTATTTAGTTTTAGTTTTTAGTTTAGCTTCATGGTCTTTAGTACAAAGATTTTTCCTCGTGGCCCAGAATGAGAAAAACGTTTGTCATTTGCTTTCTCTCTCAGTGTACAAGGACATTTTAGCGTCTGGCAGAGGCGACTCTTTCTTCATCAGGACCCACTTTGAGTACGAGAAGGAGGCTCCACAGAGTCTTCCTTTCTCTAGAGGAGAGATCTTCAAAGTGACGGACACGCTTTATGATGGCAAGCTGGGCAACTGGCTGGCAATCCGCACTGACAAAGACAACCAGCTGCTAGAGAAAGGAATCATCCCCAACAAGAGCAGGTGCGTGTCTGTGTGTGTTAAAATAGGAAGTTTTCTTACTAATAAATCAAATGAGAGATGGCTGAGGAAAAATGAAAACATCTTTTACATGTGAAATCTATTCCTCAGCCCTGTAGTGTTAGTGTAGCTCAGATTCTCCATGCTTCATTCACTTACCTGGTAGCAGTTTGTCGCTACAAATTATCATCTTATCAACAATACAATCAAATGCCAAGGCCCTGCATCATTAACAGTCAAACCATGCACCTTCAATTTAGATATGATTATGACATATGCGTCAATATGGCCTGAGAGTGTCTGAAGTTCCTTTTTATTTGGTCTCACAGAGCAGAGCAGATGTCCAACGTCCAGAATGCTGCTCGGGCCGCGTCGGGCAACGACAGAGGAGACTTCTGGAGGCTGAGGGGTCAAAGAGCAGCGAAGAAGAAAGATCTCCGCAAGAGCCGCGAGGACCTGAGCGCTGCTCCGGTCACCACACGATTCCCCGCCTACGAGAGAGTGGTCTTACGTGAAGGTACCCAAAAGAAAAGTTATCCATTGGTCACGCTGCCGTTATTGTTGCTGTGTTGTGTTTTCCCGGGACGTCTGTGACTGAATCTGTGTTCTGCTTAATGTTTTCTCCAGCTGGATTCAGGAGGCCTGTGGTGATATTTGGGCCCATTTCTGATGCAGTAAATGAAAAACTGGCCAATGACATGCCTAACGAGTTTGTCGTCGCCAGTAAGTGCTGACGTCATCATCACTTCATTGCAAATGTTTCATTTTTTTTTTTTTTTTTTTTCTACAACACAAATGTGTCCAAAAAGTTGCATAACAAGTTCCATTGTTGTGTCAAATATAACATCAGAAGTGACAGGACATGTTTATAAAGAGAAGTACAAAGACATGAACAATGTTATAGAAAGAGATGTAAGGAAAACTAAACTAAAGCCAAAACGTAGTTGGTCACCAAGTAATCATTATTTATAAAAACAAAATTCACTAGATAGAAGGGGAAAAAAAAGAAACCCACTGGAGGTACATTAAAGTGGCTGGAGACATTTGATTAAAGCTGTTACTCTGGAATAGCAGCAAACACAAACCGTCAGCATGTGCAAAAAAAGGTCCACATGCCATTTGGCGAATGAACCTCGGCAAGTAAAATCAGACAATTGGCTAATAAAAATGCTGTGATCACTGTTGGTTCAAGTTGAGTCCTGATACAATCTGAAACTGAGTTGAAAATTTCTAGCCAATAAGGTTAGGGTATGTACGGACATGCCCGAAACATATGAATGTGAGTAGCAGGGGCTTGGTGACAACTATCGCATGTTGGCTCAACATCGTTATGAGTCTGGAAATGTTTAAATGGATTTTAAAAGGGTCTCTGAATTGTTGCCAATAAAAACAGACTGTTGCGCGTGTACTCATTTCTTTCCTCTTTCAGAAACGGAGCCAAAGGACGCAGGAAGTGAGAAATCCTCCGGAGTGGTGAGACTTAACACCATTCGACAAATCATTGAACAGGTATGGTACGGGAGAAGAAGACGTAGCCTCATGAAAGTAATGGTTCGCCATCCAACATTTAACCACTTCCTCCCTGTTTCCTCAGGACCGCCACGCTCTCCTGGACGTGACTCCCAAAGCTGTGGACACGTTGAACTACACCCAGTGGTATCCCATCGTCATCTTCCTGAACCCCGACAGCAAGCAAGGCGTCAAGACCATGAGGAACCGGCTCCTGCCCGGATCCAGCCGCAGCGCTCGCAAACTGTATGAGCAGTCCGTCAAGCTGAGGAAGACCTGCTCTCACCTTTTCACAGGCAGGTTTCACTCTGAACGAGGCTGCTACTCTGCAGCTGTAACAACAATCATAATGTACATTTCCACTAGGAAGTCAAGTCAATTTGAGTTATTTTCCTCAAGGGAATTTACAATCTGTACAGCATACAACACCCTCTGCGATTAGATCCTCAATTAGGATAAAGAAAAACTAAAAAAAAACCCTAAATGTGGCAGAAATGGAATAAACCTCAGGAGGGATCCCCTTTCCAGCGCTGACAGACATGCATGGACGTTGTGTGTACAGAATAGATAAACATAGTAATATTACATTGGACAATCATGATGACAACATCATAAATAGATTGTAAATGTATATGAAGCAATGTCAGGTTTAGCAAATCATGGTGTAAAGAAAACAGAAGAAACCACTTTCTCCCTAGTAACTGTAAACAGACCTCCATGCTTGAAACAAACATGACAGAATTAGGTTTTATCCGCATAAATGAACAATGACAACATGAAAGACAAAAAAACTTCCCCACAGGAAGTTGGATCAGCTGATCAGCTGAAGAACAAAACTTAAATCCATCTTAAATGATATATTGTTGATGAGTCAACAATGTTGACCTGACCTAACTTCAGTTGTCTTTTTGTTTCGTTTTGTTTTGTTTTTGCGTGTTCAGCCGCCATCGACCTGAACTCGGCCAATGATGCGTGGTACGGCAGCGTAAAAGATTCTATTCAGGAGCAGCAGGACAGAGCTGTGTGGGTGTGTGAGGGCAAGGTGAGTCTTATTATCTGTGTGAATGACACTCTACTGATCCACTGTTCTGGATTTTGGAGATTCATTTGCTGCCTAACAGACAGATTCTCAAATAAGTTTAACAGACTCTAAGATTAGACAGTGATTTCATGAACGTAGCTGTGAGGTCAGTCAGGTTCATTTATGTGAGTAGATTCTTACAGTCTTCCCTCTCTGTCTGTCACTTCCCCTCCTCAGCTGGACGGTTCAGAGGAGGACCTGGATCTCCATGACGACCGCATGTCGTACCTGTCAGCAATGAGCGCCGACTACCTTAGCATGGACAGCCGTCTGACCAGCGACTACGAAGACACGGCTGATGAGGGCGGGGCTTATACTGACAATGAGCTGGACGAGCCACTGGACGAGCCCCAGCCTGTGTCGGCGATCAGTCGATCATCAGAGCCAGTGCTGCCGGACGAGGTGGGACTGTCCACTGATACATGTTGATACAGTGTAGACGCAGCAGGAGATTCTCACCATTCACTCATTGTTGGTTCCAAACTTGTGTGTGTGCATAATCTGACCCTGACAGCCTCTGTCTGTGTGTGTGTGGGTGTGTCTGTGTATATGTGTGTCTGTGTCTGTGTCTGTGTATATGTGTGTATGTGTGTGTAGAAGCTTCACCCTGAACCCCGGACTCGTATGAGGAGGTCAGGGAGCAGAGAGGTGCTGAACAGAGAGCCCAGCCCTCCCCCTTCTTTTGTCCCCGAACCCCCGAAGGTGAGAATCTCCCCTTCCTTCCTCCTCAAAAACTCTTCATCACATCAGTCTATCTATACTCGTCTGTGATGAATAAAACCAAAATGTGTCAAATTCAGAGAGGGAACTTTTTCTCCACAAAGTATGGAGTTGTGAAATGCAGAAATAAACTTTTAGAGAACGTCCCCTCTGTTGTTGAGTTCTTTTTCTTTACTTTGCTGATACAATACTGGAGGTTTTGTACCAAAATTATGCTTTTTTCAGTTCCTTATTTTAAGGAATATACAAAACCCCATTTTTCATTTAACAAAAATCTGTTACAGTTCTCAAATGGTAAACACTGTCTGAACACAAATACAAGAACTTTGTGTCAATAACATTTTCTAAAACTGGCAAATTTGGGGTTTAAATCATGAACTCTGAGCAAGTATTTAGCACTAGTTTACTGTACTCGACAGTTTTCAGCGTGCTATAGACAAATTTTAGTTGGTACTAAAAAAAAAAAAAAAGTAGAACCTGAGCTGGAAAAAATGCAGTCTTTGCCACAATCTGAAAATCTCCAGCAGAAGTTCTTGCTGTGGACTGGTGAGGATATTTTTACCTCCTGTTGCACTTCACTTTTCCTGTGTGGTGGTGGACGTGGCTGTAAGGTTGTCAGTTTGAATGTCTGGACTGGAGTATTAAGGTATGAACGCTGAAGCAGCAGCTGGCTGGTCTGAGGACGTGTTTTAATTTGAAGGAACATGATGCTGAGGCCAAATAAAGGTTTCAGATGGACCACAATATCCTGACCGCTCTTCTCCTCTGACAGGTGCGGACTCAGACTCGGACTGACTCATCACGGAGCTATGACTCACACTCCAGCAGCACCATCAGCAGCGACGCAGCGGGCGGAAACAAGCCGCTTCCCCCTCCTGTGGCCCTGAAGCCCAGCATCCCCCGCCTGAACCATCCCACAGAGGAGCCGAGCCCAGCGAAGGAGGAGGAGGACCCGGCCAAGAAATCCTTCCTGGGCAAAGTTAGACTTATTCTTTTCTTCTTTCTCTCCCATTAAATCTCAATATTTTGACATTTTTCTGGCTCTGGCAGCATTAAGAGTCTGTGACTCAGTTATTAAATCATTTTATTTTAATTTTCTTCCCTTCTGTCTTTCATTGCTTCTAATATGAAATAGAAAATGGGTGACCAGGTAACTGAACATGTCATCTTGGATGTTCTGAGTCCTCATTTCAAATCCCATAATCACTCATCATCCATCGTAACAGTGTCCTATGATCTTCATGTCATTATCACGCTCTCGTTTCATTTGACCGTCACTTCCTGGTGAATTGTGCCATGTGGATGTATGGTATCTCTTAAAATATCAAGGAAAATAGAACATGAGTTAACATTCATTTGTTTTCCCCCAGATTCAAGCGTTTGAGAAGATGGACCACCTGGCTCGAGCTCAGAGGATGCTGGAGCTGCAGGAGGCGGAGAACGCTCGAGTCAGTGTTGTTGTTGTTCTTATTACTGTTATTATTTCAGTACAAGTTGACAGATGAAAGTGAAACCTGCTTCAGACAGCGTGTGTGCTCACAGCTAAATGTTTTCAGCCTGAAGCAGCAGACGAGGTGGAGGTCGTCACTCAGACCGACTGGTAGCTCTGTCCTGATCCTTCTTGTCGACTGGACTCAGAACAAACGTCAGATTAGTAGAGACAGTCGCAAGTCATTTAAATATCTACATTTTCATTTATGTACATTCACACTCATCACATGAGCATTCAGGAATAATCTTTTAAGCCTTGTCCTTTTAAAGATTTCAAAACCACACTGACATGCCCATATGTACGATTCATACATGCACAATGTACAAAAACACATTCTTACATAAGTTTCAGCTGAGCTTTCAAATATATTTTTGAACAGAATGAGGACTCCAGAGTTCGTCTCCCATCATTTGAATGAAATGACATTAGAAAAAGGTTTACGACCAGCACAGAGAAGAGAAACAATAACAGCAGCCAGTAACTGAACCCACTGCAGAGAGAAAGCTGTGAAATCACGTGTAGCTTCTTGGGGTCTGTGTAGAGCAGTGTTTCTTAAACTTTTTCAGACCAAATACCGAGAACCACTAAAATAAAACTCTCAGACCACCTGACACCCCAAACATCCCAGAAACCAATAGGACTAGTACTTCAGTAGCGTTGTGGCACGCTAGTGTGGAACAATGACAGCTGGGACAGAGTTTTACACAACCCCTGCACCTCACACACTGCAGGGCAATAAGAGGTGCTATTTCTGTAGCATCAAAATTGTCACATACATATAAACACTGGCCGGACGTCATCAAACGCAGCAGGAGTCTCAGTCATGGTGTCTACATAACTAGTAAAACTTAATACTTGCCTGTTGTGTCCTTTTTGTTGAAGGTTTCATTTGATTTTCTTTGAGCTGACCTGGTCTTAAGCCACCGGTTCATGATCCTGTCCTTTTGTCTGTGTTTGATAGTTAATAAGCTGATAGCTGATAAGCTGCTGCTAACAGGGCAGGCTAACTGTTAGCTTCATCCACTGTTAGGTCAAAAATGATCAGCGTGACATTTGAAAGGAAATCGTAAAAATAAACTGTAAACAGGTTGGTATTATTGCTGTAAGCCCAACAACACTGCAAACAGCCAGATTAAGTAATGTTTGGATTTTCATGAGTTGATTTAATATTTAAAACAAACCATATATACTCCTTGTTAGTGGGCTTTGTGGTCACTCACAGACAGTCTGAGAAACAAAAAATTAAAACATGATATTTTTTACTCTTTGAGAAAGGCTGATGTGGCGTTCGGATGTCTGCTGGTGGATTTGTCTTTATTTTGTATCAGTTCTGATGTATCTGGGTCTTGTTCTCTTCTCTCTTCTCACACAGTTGGAAATCGCCCAGAAGCATCCAGACATCTACGCCGTCCCGGTTAAGCTGCCAAAACCCAACCTGAACCGTCCTCAGCCAATAGGGTGAGAGCGTCACTCCTCTCTCTAACATGATAAAAAATATGTTTTTTTAATTATCCGTTAGTCTTATGAAAGGAAAAGTTAAACTGCTGGATCACTGCTTTGTTCCTGTGTGTGATCAGTTCGAGCTCCAACCCCGAGGCCCAGACTCCCTCCAGGCCACTGTACTCAGAGACGAGAGGTCACGACAGCGAAGAGGCCGACTACCGCAGACAGCTGGTCGACCAGACCAAGAGAGGATACTACAATCCCCAGAAATACAAGGACACTGAGCTGTAGGCCGGAGACCAGGACGTGACATCATCACTGCACACCGCTCCATTCCCCCACATCGTCGGTTCAAGTGGTCAGACCTTGTCGCCTTGGTAACAGCTTATGCAGCTTTACCTTGATACAAACTCTGAACTTTTCCCAACACTAATTTCAGACACTTGTCTCACTCGTGTTTTACTTCACACAAATTTGTACAAAAGGTATATCCACACCTGTCCTGGTTTTTCTGATGGACCTTTTCACACATGATGCTTCAGTGTGTGTATATACATATACATATATATATATATATATATATATATACACACATAATGTTTTTATGTGTCTGAGAATGTTTTTGTTACAAGCAAGTCTTTATTTGACCCCATTACACTGACACCCAGCCTCAGTTTGTGCCTCTCATGTGCTGCCATTATATTCAACTGACTGAGCTTAGCATCAGTAGGTTTTCTGCAGTTCTGAAAATCTATCTCCAGAACACACAGACACTTGTGACCATCGAGGTGAAAGCACAATAAATAAATAAATAGATATAGATTAATAGATAAGTAAGTGTAGATAAAAATAGATTTTTTTTTTATTTGTAACTCGGGTTACCGTGCCGCTTCCCAACAGGTAGCTGGAGATGCCATATTTACTTTGGCGTTTTGCAGAAACAAGAAAAATATAAACATGATGTTGTGTTTATGGAAAATAACAACAAACTACAAATGGAGAAAGAACAAATGGCATTTCCAGCTGCCATCTTTGTTTTGCAGACAGAACATTTTTCATCCAGATGTTTAGAAAAGTCTTTTCTCAGAATAAGTGTTTCCCTAAGTGTATCTGTGGAGAACAGATGATTTATCTGTGTTACCAGGATGTGATGGTGATACATGAGAGCAGACTAGCTGCACCCAGACCATTGGTTATGGTACTGTAGACTGTGTGCAGTATCCACACTGTTTGGTTTTACATCCTATTAGCAAGTGGTTTTGTGTGCACCACTAATGTCATAGCACCTCTCTGGTAACTGGTGTGTTTCAGACACTTTAGGTGTAGGTGTTAGCTGTCCTCTTCATCACTCTCCTGCCAAGTGTTCTCTGATTGATCGTATGCCTCTACATTCCTACTTGTCCATACACTACACTGTGATATGTGTGCGTGGTGGAATGCAGCATATTTTCAAGTGCCTTGCAGCTCTGATTTCAGAACAAAGACAGTTCTTCACAGACAACACAGGGTTCTTAAAACAACAAAACAACCTGACGCTCTGTCTAAAAAAAGGTGCATGGTGATTAATGCAGAAATACACTTTTGTGACAAAAACTGACAAAATACAAGTTGTAGATTTACACAACTGGACATTTCCCTCCTACTGTTTTATTTTTCTGTTATTGGCAGTATGGTTCAGCAGTGTATTCCCTTCACCAAAGCAAAATGATAAAGGTAAATGTTCAGCTGTAATTATGAGATACAGAAAGATCTCATTAATGCAACATCTATGTCTTGAGAGAGGATCTTATAATTACAAGACCTGCTTCACAGTCATGACTTTAAAATGATAAGATGTGGAAGGAAGGCGTGTCCTTATGTCTTTGGTGAACACAATTCACTTCTGTAGTTGAAGGAGGTTGTGCAGGTGCTTGGAAAACATCTGTGTTTACATCAGCAGGGACAGACGGAAATATCACAGACCTCACTGTTAAAAACATGAATAGGACGTTGGTGTGAAGACCTTTGCAGGTTTGGATCTAGAGGGAGCAGTGCAGCATAAAGCCGACCTTCCTGACAGTTTCTATGTTTGTCTTTATTTGCTGCTCGCAAAACAGAGACAATCACATTTTTATTGCATATGTTTTTATATTGAATATTAAAGTCTTTGTACACGGGAGTATTGGGGATGTGGTGACGACAATCATGTTGGTTGATCAGTTTGTTTTAAATGTCTGTTAGTTTGTGATTTTCTTTTTTCTTTTTTTTTTTAGTTTGTCTCCTGAGTGTTACAGGACTCTTGGGAAATTCAATAAATAAATCTCTCTTTTTTTACATTGTGTCTTTTTATAAATCTGTGGTTCCACTTCATACAGGTAATGGCTATGTTTGAAATGTTTCATGCAAACTTCCATGCAGTCATTTCTTGTCGCTCTTGAACAGGAACTTCATTCACTTAATGAATTGACAGCCGAATGCATTCAGTTCAAAATCTGTTGAATAAAACAAAGCAGAACTTTCCAGCCTTTTGTTAAGAGTTTATTCAGCAGAACTGTACATGCATTCCTCGATTGCTTCAGTGTAGAAGTTGTTTATCACTTGGGTCGCCCTGACAACTTATAGGTCCAACATGATTAGAATACATTCAGATATTACAGCTATTTAACCAAAGGTAATATTTACTCTATTTGCCACCTAAATATGCACAATAAAATCCACGATTTCTCTTTGGTCAAACATAACACGTCACATTAACACTCGGCCTAGTGAGATAATCTGCCTTCTGCTGTCATACTGTAGATGTACATGTTTACATGACAGTGCACTGTACAGATTAAGGCAAGTCAAGTGATATCAAACAGGATACAGAGAGGAGAAAGGTATTAAACAACTCAAAGATGAGTGGACTATCAGTAGTAAAGACAGACTGAGTGATGTGGTGAAGAGTGAGAAGTGTGTGTTCAGATGTAGACAGGCTGTTCCTGTGCAGTCAGCAGACGGTACATGGCTGCAGGCATCGTCTTCATGTGGATCTGGAGCAGAAACAAACCAAACTGAGGTTTTTAAACTTTTCTGACACAAGCAAATGAAACTTTCTGCAACATGTTCATGAATTCATTTTTTTCATTGTTAATTTCAAAAAGAGATCCTTACCTCTCCCATGGCGTTAGACAGGATCTGAACAATCTTCTCGTGAGGCGTTGCCACGACACTCTGGCTGTTGATCTCGATGATGCGGTGACCGACGCGAACGCCTCCTCTCTCAGCAATGCCTCCCCTCATCAGGCTGCAGATCTGCACATACACAGGGAGTGACGGTAATGCTGACGTTCAAAATAAATGTGCACCTGAACATCATGAAAAAAAATCACAGTAATCTGTTGCTAAGTAACTGACGCTGGTTTGTAGAGCACTGTTAACAAAATAAATATAATCTTAAATATATAATCAAAGAGGACCATGATTCAGCCTCATCCTCTGTATCTGCGTGCGATCTGTCCTGATACTCACGATGCCGTTCTGGACGCTGAAGCCCAGCTGGTATCTGAGGTCCGGCCTGCGAATGAGCACCATGGTGACGGGAGGACACCTGACGATGTTCATCTTGATCCTTGACTGAGACTTTAGACCCTGAAGGAAGAGAGTCGGGTTAGCTACAAGAGAATCTATGGCAGAGATGAGAAAGTTAAAACACAAACATACAGTGGAGTAACCAGTGTTTCAGGACACTGTGTTTGTTACAGAAATTTTACTGTAAACATACATCTGCAGGCTCTGCAAGCTTATTTCATGTGTGAAACACAACATGTCAATTGAGCTGGCAACAACTAACTATCAGTGAGGAGTCCTGCTTCATGTCCCTTGTTGGTAAAATTTCTAAAGTATATCAAAAACCTTAATATTTGTATTTTATATGCTAGAGTTAAAAACTTCATAATGACATAACAGACTTCAGGATCTGTAAAATACAAATAAAATATTGCATTTATAATATTTCCTTGCATCTTATCTCTTACATGAAGACTTTGGTGCCCAAACATTTTAGACTTATTCTCGTAGTTGCACCTCTGCTCTGTTCTTGGGAGCTGTTTTCCTCTGTTACATTTCCTCAGCTCACATTTATAAAATAGAGAGGATACAGTTTGTAATGTTGTTACTTTTCATCGGTTATTTGCTTTTAACCCTTTTCTAGGCTGATTTATTTAGAGAAAATGACACTAGTCCTGCTATTAACTATGATTTTAACCCCTTCACTCAACCAGACACTGATTGTTTTGAGTAAAGCTGACCAGTAGAAAACCTGGACACCTCCCACGTCTGGATATATTTCATGGTTTATGTTAAAAAAAGGAAAGATTGAGATAAAAAATAATAAAAATAAACCACACACAGAAAGCAGCAACGTACCTTGATGATGCTCTGGCAGGTGCTGAGCGGTAAACCCACCAGACTCGTCCCGTTGATGGTCATGATCTGGTCTCCGATGTTGAGTCGACCGGACTTCTCTGCCGGACCAGCATGCATCATGCTGGCGATGATGACGGTGGGGAGGATGGACCCCCAGCCCGACTCCACGATCACCACACCCAGGATCTCTCCTTTCTGCTTCTCTATGTAAACCTGCAGCCAAACAAGTCAACCTTTATTTATGGAGTTTCCTTTTACTGAACAGTCTATGGAAATCTAACATCCACACAGTTGAAATCTCTCCTAGTGAAGTCGCACACTCATCCACACAACGTGAAACAGTAACGATGCACACAGTTTGAGCTTCTGGCGGCCAACTGCACGACTGTGAAAAATGTGAGACGACAGCAGGCGTTCAGAGCAGCCAGAGGAGGGAGGGGGGCTGAGGTCAGACCAGGTTGAGCGTCTCAAATTTACCTTCATACTGAGGTTATGGACCTTTTTGTTTTGGGTTTTTTTTTTGGCATTTTTCAGGACAACTGTCACACAGCTGTGACTCCAAGGCCAGATGCTCATTTGAAACCACTGGGAGGCAAACTAACAGACTGAGCAGAAAAATAATGGCACTGGCTCATTTATTAAATCAAACATTAATAACTCGACCTGAACTGAAGTGTGCTGTTGTTCTATACAGACAAAAGTTGAAAAACTTTTCAGCAGTAGTTTATTTTTTGAAGGTAAAAATTTCTCAGTCATAATAAACTAAACTCTATTAAAGCACAGGCAGTAAATGAAACCTCCTGTGACTCTGCTGCCACCTGCTGCCTGACTTACGTCTCTGCAGTTCTCCGACTTGGAGAAGTGGATGAGGTCGTCGTTGTACATGTCCTGAGTGTTGAGCAGGTCGCTGTATTCCCTCTGGCTCAGATCCTCGGGGTCGATGCCGTTGGCCCTGAGGAACTCCTGGTAGGCGACGCTGAAAGACTGACCAATGGACTGTGCTATCAGCTGAGCCTGAGAGAGAGAGAGAGAGAGAGAGAGAGAGAGAGAGAGAGAGTGTTCAGGACCAGAGTTTGTGAGTGATACTAACTTTTAGATTTCCTGCGGGAACAGGACTCATTAACATACTTATTTACATCCCTCTAAAAGACTCACACACTCACATTGCACTAATATACTTGTGAGGACATGCACTAACATGATGATTAACTGTAACTATAACCCAAACACCAAGTCTTAAAGGGTCTTGTATTGATTGCTGGTTGTATTTCTTGCACCTTCAGATTTTTTTTTAGCAACGTCACCATGTTTCAGGATCTCAGCACTAACCTGGTGAGTACTAAATTATTATTATTATTTTTAAGATTATTCTGTGGTTCTTCGGACAGTGTAGACAGACAGGAGGCATGGCAACAGTAAGGTGTATGACATGCAATAGGGCTGGGAGTGGAACCATGGTTGTTGCAGTTACAGTGTGTGGTGTGTAGCCCAACCATTAGGTTATAATCACTGACAGGAATGATGGACAACCCTGTGACAGTGAGACACAGGTTATATGCTAGCAGCTCTTTTCAGGAGTCACAAGTGAGCAGAGGTAGCTCTGATGTGTTTAGCCTAGCTTAGCACAAACGCTGAAAGCAGCTGGAAACTGCTAGCTAAGCATCATCACAGATACCAACTTCACAGCTGTTTGCTCCATTTCTATTTTAACAGGTGTTGAATCATTGTGGTTTTCAAGGCAGTTTTTTGGTGCTGTTTACTAACCAGTGACTGCTGAGACCTCATGTAGCATCTACAGTTCTGTCCTCACTGTAAAGATGGCACTTTCATTTACTTTCCCTGAACATTAAACAATATCCAGGTGATTCTTGAATGTACAGGCGACTAGTTCGCTAGCTAACAAGACGTAACATGTAAACAAGGAGTGAACTAGCAGTTTGCCCAGTGTTTTCAGTGTTTGTGCTAAGCTAGGCTAAACACGTCCTGGGCCTATCTCTTAAGATCAAACTGATGTCATCTTCTCATCGAACTCACAGCGAGAAAATAGTTTTATTTCCCTGAAAGACGTGTGTCACAGTCAACCATGGTGGCTCTATTTGCTCAACCTATCTCAGCTCATTTTAACCACATTTAGATTTCACTGCCAAGACAACAGCGCCCAGTGAACCCAAATACAAGCTTCAAGACGGTGTGCGATTTATATGTTAATACAGGGTTTCTGCAGGATTCACCTAATTAAATGCAAGAAAAGCTTTTTCATACTGCACAGAAACACATTTAATACCCTTTTCATGATCAAGCTGCACAAAGTATGAAAGTATGATGGAAAACCAGTGAGGATGATCTGTCCTCGGATTATTTCTTACATAACAATTCCTAATGATAAAATTAGTTTAATTAACACAACTGTGTCCAGATCAGCAGCAGGAATGGATGATTAAAAATCATTCATTCATTTACTTTCCTTTCTGCTAAAATCAACACTTGCCTGTTATGAGAGAGAATTTCCTAGCTGCTGTAGCTAGTAGTAGTGACAGTGTTTGCTACAGGTCTGATGAATCTGACTGAAAAAGGATTAAAGAGCCTCCTACGCACAATCCACTGTCAAAACAATCCCATTTTCAGGTTATAGGTGTGTAATATCTCCTGACAGCCTGCAATTGGATACAAAAACATTTTATAACTAATATCACTGCCTGCAGCAGATTTTATATATTAAATACAGGACTTTAATATCTTCTAAGGCCTTAGGAAGAACAAAAATCAATGCTTTTCCAGAGCTGCGGATACTAAGTTTTAATCTATTACAAGATCAATAACTCACATCCTCAGACTCAAAGACGTGGCAGATCATCCGGTACAGCCGCCTGTCGTCATGGGTCATGGTGGTTTGCTCAGCTGTGTGGTCCAGGTTCTCCTGCGCGCTGCGGGACCGGACCATCTTCCCCCGGGCCATCAGCACTACCATGTTACCGATGTCAGCTATGTAGGAGATGGTCCTCAGGGGCAGGTCCATTAAAGACTCCTGGTGGTCCAAAAAAGACACGAGGTACTCACATGAGGTTCTCACTTAATTGGTTTTCTGTGATTCTCTGGTAATAACTTTCCACTGTGATGTAATATAGAGAAGTCTTTTAATGAGATTTGGAGGTAGAGCAGGGAGGATCTGTTGCTCGAGGACATTTTGAAGAAATGAATGTTGAAGAAATTTAACCTGTTATTTTTACTCTTTGTACAGTGACACTGCCCCTCCTGTGTCAAAAGCTTTAAAGTTATTTATTGATAAAGCAAGGTCAGGAATACATATTATTATTAAATACCTGAGTGTCTGCATTGAGGACTTTGATCCTCTGTGTGGACATGAACAGATCAACCTCAGCAGTGGACGGCGCCTCGCTGTCGGGGCTCTGCACAGCCGGAGGGAAACAGCAAGAGAAGAAGTGAACAGGAAGCAACAGGTTGATTAACAGCAGCGGAGAAATAAAGCACAGCAGGTGTCACAACTGTGAAAAGGCATCAAATCTAATGGCAACAAAGAGAGGAAACAAAACCTGTGCAAAGTGACAAAAGAACAAACAATTCTACAGGAGATAAAAATGCAGAGAAAAAAAAAAAAAAAAAAAAAAAAAAAAAAAGGGGAAAAAAAAAAAAAAAAAAACAATTCTACAGGAGAAAAAAATGCAGAAAAAAAAAAAAAAAAAAGAGAGGTAAATAAACACTATAAAAAGACATTGGCATAAAGAGACCTTTTCATATTGAGACAGAGAAATGTCAAAGAACAATCCTCAGACATGTGGGAGTTATCTTTATCTAAATTTCTGTAGAGAGAGAACAAACAAGCAGAACTCACCTTTTTCCTGTTCTTTGCCTGTTTCTGTGCAGCCTGCAGAGATCACAGAGCAGAACACACTCACACAGAGACAAGGCAAGAAAACAGCATTTCTGGTGCATCAACAAAAACCCAATCGCCTCACTCACTGTGGACTGTCTCCATTCCAAATGCCAAATTAATGGACACAAGGACCTTAAAGGTGTATGTTGGGTGGGTGTGTGTGTGTGTGTGTGTGTGTGTGTGTGTGTGTGTGTGTGTGTGTGTGTGTGTGTGTGTGTGTGGGAGGACAGTGATGTTACTGTCTATCACATCTGACAACAGCAGACTGCTGGAGGCCTTTGCAGCAAACGTTATCAAAAGTTTTCTCTTCATCAATGTGACACGAGCGACCCTGAAGAAAGACAAGCGACCTCGTGCGTTTCTGGAAGACGCCTCGTCACAGCTCAGGGTTTGTGTTTCCAGATGTTGGCATGTGCCACGATTTCCTCTCTAAAATATTTCTGTGTTGTTTAAAAGGTTTAAAATCCAAACCTGCCTGATCACCTTCATCAGAAGAGATGTGATTAGTAATGTTATAAGTGGATTTAATCAGTTAAAACTAATAGGATCATGGCTTTGACCTAGATTCAAATTGCAGTTTATTTCATTTCAGCAGAGGCGGCCCCAATATGTTGCACACTTTGTGTACAGCTATATTTAGACTTGTTGTATTAAAATCACCACTTGGAACATGCAATTTTCAAACTGCAAGAGCTGCACTTCTACTTACTGGACTGTGTGAAAGGTTTTCTTCAGCAGCTGTTGATACTGCTCCTCATAATGACTCACAGATTTAGTCAGAGGCAGCTAATTAATGTTAAAGTTCTTTTTCACAGCCGATATCTGACTTGTCAAAGCACAGCTCTGACTGAGCACATTCATGATGGCTGTATGTTTGTGTTTTGCACTGTTGGACAGACAAAACAAGACATTTAATCTTAGGCTCTGGGAAAATGTTATCGACTAAAGACTTGATAATAATCTGCAGATTAATCAATAATGATAATAATCATTAGCTGCTGCGCTCAAGCTATATGTTAGCAGCTAGGTTTGGAGATGTCATGTGTTCATGGTAGACAGCAGTAGTAGTAGGGATCAGTAGTTGGAATCCCTAACTGGGATTTTAATTCTTTAATACTATGTAGATCACAAATACAGGCCAGAAGATAATCACAATTCAAGTCTCATAGGTAATAACTGCAATTGGATATTTTCCATAAATCCTTCAGCCCTAACTATATTTAGACAAACTAAAACATGCAGTCACAATGCACTTACATCAGGCTTTTTGGATGCTGGCCTCACTAAAAGAACATTTTTTTTTATTTTACTTACTAAGCCTTTAAGAGTCAGTTAAAGGTCACGCCAATCAAGAGACCCAAATTTCTTATTTCTCACACTTCTTATTTTATTTAATTAAACCTGTTTTCTTCTCAGGATTAGAGACTGCACTGTTAAAACTGATGAACTGCAGGTTAAGAAACTGGTAATGGTGTGATTAACTGTGATTAATTCAACTGATGATGATGATGAGTAAGAATAAAACCCTGATGAAGTCTCTGTGCCAAAATACAATGATTGAATGAACAGCGGACTCCACCTGTGAAGCAATTAGTGCTGCTGACTTTCTGTTTGTTCAAGTTTAGAGACCAAACAACTACGATCACGATTTTGGACATTTCCACTTTTCTTTTTTGACGTTTCTGTGACTGATGTAACAGCAGCTCCTGCCCAGTCTTGAAAGTGGCCTCACGTTGCTCAGAAAACTCACTTCTATGAACAACCATCATCTGACCTCTATTAAAGTTGACACATACTGCTAACGAGTATTTATTTACTGTAGTAACCAAATGTTTGTTTGTGAACAGGGATGTTGTTGTTAAGACCCTCCCAGACCCCGGAGCGAACACATCAGTCTGTTCACTGAGTCTCATTTCACCCATGATGCTCGGAGGCGAGGCAGGCTGCGCATCACATCATCATGAGCTGGAGGCTGACTCCTGACCTGTGGTGGACGTCACCGCGTGTTGTTCTGTTAACAACAGCCATGTCACCTCCAGTATTTTATTTTGTAGTTGGCAGAAAACTCATGTAATAATCAGCCTCCGTCTGTCCACGCCATCCTGCACAGCCCTGGCTTTGCACCTTAGGGTGCTGAGGTCAGTGGCATGTCTCATAAAAGACATTTTTAAAAACACACATCTGAAATTTGTTTTTATTTATTTCATTCCTGCTTTTCACCATTATATTGCTGTTTTGTGTGTTTGTCATCTTGGAATTATTGGCTTCTGTCTGGACTAGTCAGACATCCTGGGAAAGTGGTTTCAGACTTTTGACCCCACAGTATATGTTGGTGATGTCTTTGAGGTTTGGTGAGTTTTTTAAAACTCCAGTATCCTATGAAGGATGTTTTCATTTTGCCTGCGCTCTTTGTAACTCATGAATCTGAAGGATATTTTTGTAAAATGTTTTTATTATGTTATCATTATACAATGCTGTTGTTATTTCCTAGCATGTGGTATGATTGAAAAAAAACAAACAAAAAAAAAACACCATAAGTAAATAAAATGTGACAAAATATAAATTCACTACATCCCTATATCCCTTTTCATAAGAGCTTCAAAGATAACTGCTTTGTGATTAATGGGAGTTTAAAATAAAAGTGAAGGACGTTCTACAATTTTACTTTTAGCAATGAAAATACTGAGATTTAATGAATAATGAAAACAATACAACATAATCAGCTCCACTGGATGGGTATTGCTATAACACTTCCTGTATGTCCTTCACAATAAAATGCATTCTAATGTGAATGCAGTGGTAGGCCTTTACTGTGACACCAAAGTTAAACTTAGCTCGATTAAACTATATTAAGATATCTTCTTGAATTTTTACCCAGAAGACGTTTTAGTCGGAATACATTTAATTACACATTGAAAGATTGAAACAAACTTAGCAACTACAATAGAAAGTAGAGCTCTGGTGTTCAACAGCTCAGCTGGTGTCTAATAACTGTTAATCACAGTAGCTCAGTGCTGCTTGTCAGTTGTGTCAGGAACTGTGTGTGTGCATGTATGAGACAATTTGAATGTGAGGGTGTGTCTGTCGTTAAGAGTTTGATGCACTGTAATAACACAAATTCATAAACCTTCATAAACAATATTATTAAAATTTACCCAGAAAGGATGCCAGTGAAGTAGTTAAGAGCTGATGTGTAGTTAGAGCCTAATGTTAATTTATATAAAGAAGAAGAATCTTAATCAGCTGCAGACTGAAGATAACAGATTTTACATTAGGGCCAAAAGAAGAGCACTGGTGTCAGATCAGGACTCTGTATGAGCCAGAACCCTGAGTCCGATCAGTGCATCCCAACAAGTGAGATGTCAGCTCCCCCAGCCTGTTCGACAGCAAGCCTCCTCTTTCTTTTCCATTCTACAAAAATATGCATTCCCATCATTATACAGTCTCCAACCTTCTCCTTCCCTGTACAGTTCTCAAACCTTAACGGAGGCGATGTCCTGGAACTGTCACTCAACCATCCAGAAAGCAGAGTTCACCTCAGCTCCTGTCCTTTTCCTGCCTCCGACTTCCTCCGCTCGTCTCCTCAAAATGGCAATGTCTTACTGCTCGTCTCTCTCACTCATACATTTGAATACCACGCTGTCGCTGTAAGACATCTTTCTCACTAACTCCCTGACACAACCTGCCCTCAACTGACTCAAAATACATTCACACAGGCAGTGCAGTTTCTTTCTGTATACCACTATCATCTCTGGAGATTTCTTCTCATGTCAACAGAAAAAAGCCCCACATGAAATCATTGATGATAAAAGCCAGATTTATGTGTACTGATGTACTCTGATTGCTGTGATCAAAGTTAAAAGAATCTTTGTGATGCGTGTTTGACATCATACACTGTGATTGAAGCAGAAAGTGGGGTCTACTGTCTCCAGGGCCTTGAACAGCAGTTTATATAACATCCAGTGGAGCTGAGCAGAGAAGCCTGTATGACTGTGGATCAGGAGCAGTGATCTGTGGATGATGCATTGTGCACAAACCCGGGGACTTTTTGCCCGCTGGCTGTGTCGCCTGCTGTGGATTTCTGACTTTAAAAGACCCAAATATGAAGCGGACCTCAGTTACATCACTAACGATGTGTCCAAGTGTGTTAGAAAATGTACTGCATCTCCAAACCAAGGAGCTGTGGAGCTTTGATCTTTGTGCTCCTTGATATATGTTGCACATACCATTATTAAGTACACCCTTAATGTAAAGTTGAACAGGCTTTCAGGTTGTTCAAATCTTATTCCTCAACGTCTGACAGTAACACATATTTCTTCCTTTTGAGCTTGTTCCAACTGTGTGAAACACTCAAACCCATGTGTTTTCTGGCTGTACTATTCTATGAAAGTGAAACATTTTTGGACTGGTCAATATTTAGCCTTTAAAATAAAGAAGGGACTGTAAAAATAAAAAAAACTAAACACAAAAAACTTTGCAGAAATGTCTATGTTATCAAAACAGGTTGTGTCCACAATTACTCCCTATTTACTACATAGTGCTCTATATTTACCTTACTCCATTTTGTTTTATATCAATTCAGTTTTATTTACACTGTTCAGTGACTGTTCAGTGTTCACATACCATCTAATTCTTCATCTCTTTCACTATGATATGAATTAAATCAAATGAGCTGTAGATTGTTCTTACCCGGACTCTGCTCATGGCCTCCTGCGCCTGCTGCATGCGGGCGCTCTTTGTGGGCGTCCTCTCCGACAGCAGGTGGGTGCAGCCTAGGTAGGTGGCTGCAAAGATGATGCCGTCAATAAGGTCTTCTGGGTCACATGGTCCCGGGACTGCATGAACCAAAAGCACCCATTAGGGACACATACACACACACATACATACATACATGGATACATGTTTACACACAAACAAACATCCAACTGATGAAAAAGTGAAGATAGTTATCTGGCAAACCTACACCCAACATCTACAACATCTGTACATTTTTTAAATATGAGCACAAATTCACAAAACTAAACATATTGTCAAATGTAATATATGATCTCATCAGATGAAAACAATGGAGAGTAAAATTATGACTTTCATATGCGAGTCCACTCACCATCCACAAATGTAGGAAAGGGGGGAAGAGATCTGCGAAGCTGAGGAGGCACAAAAAAGAAAAACTACATCACCATCATTATTATTTCTACTCACATACTCCAGGTCTCTCCTAACTCATTTAAATTCTGCAGGACTTTTACTGCTGTCAGCCATTTAGCTGCTGGCAGATAAACACCTTGGGAAAGATGCCTGCCTTTGCAGGATTTATCATCGTGTTTGAGTGTCATTTTTAGATACTCAAGCTATAGGTTTTTTTTTTCCCCCCCAAAGATTTACCTATAGATTTCAATTGGGTTTCACAGGATTGAGGGTCAGGAAACTATTTGTAGTCAAGAGGGAATGTAAGAAATACGCTGGATTAGTGAAAGTTTCCAGTTTGAAATGTGTCCATGAATGTACAGATGTCTATCACTGGATTAGTTTTACACTGAAGAAAACTTAAAAATATGATGAGTCACGGGCAAGTTCTGGAGTTATAGGGAACAACTTTTTTTTCTATGAAATCCAACTGAATTTATCTCACCTCCTGGACAGACGGCGGCTGTGGAGGCGACTGTGGCTGAACTTGTGTCCTCAGCTGTTGTGGCGGAAGTGGCTGAGGCTGTTGTTGATGTTGAATCTGTTGTTGATGATGACGTTGTTGATGCTGATTAGGCGGAGGCATGTGTGCATATGATTGTGGCTGTGTGTATGTCTGTGGCGGCCTCGGGGTGTCCCTCTGCTGTGACTGGTGGCCTTGGTGGTGGTGGTGGTGGTGGTGGTGATGGTTGTGTTGGGGCGGTTGATGGTGATAATGTTGGGGATGAAGCGGTCTGGAGGACTCAGCTCTCCGCGGACTGACTGGGTCTCGAACTGGAACTGAGGCGTAGCAGGACGGAGACTCAGGTACAGACTGAGAGGGGGAGTGAGGAGAAGACTGAGAGAAGGAAACAGAGAGAAAAGAGAAAAAGAGGATTTAAAAAAAATAAAAAAAATCACTTCTATGAAACTGCAATGCAGCAACTCATGCTGACACCTTACATGATTCAGGATTTGGGCATTAATCCAAGTAACTCAAAATGAAATGAAAGGCAAGGATGTAAATCTTGTTGTAAAACTTCCTGGAAGCAATGAAGTCAAATTTAATTATTGCAACACTGCAGACCTTGGACAAAGTCACTCATCAGCACAGCCTTAAAGGAACAGGTCAGCATTTTGGAATAAACACCATAAATATAAGATATAATAAGAAATGAATTCTGATATGTAACCCTAAAATTGTCACTTTTACATTTCTGATCGAGTATGTTAAGCAAGATACAACAAAATAAAAGCAGCTTTTGTTCCCAATTTATTTTTCACTTTGGACAGACCAAGGCTAGCTGTTTCGCTCTGCCTCCAGTCTTCATGCCAAGCTGCACTGAATTGGTCCTGACTCCAACTCCATACTGGAAAGAAAGTGAATAAGCATATTTCCCAAAATGCTGAACCATTCCTTTAATTCTTGCCTGACGTGCTGTCTACAACAACAGCAATTAGCAATGCCACTGAAAAGTAAAAGATAAGTACAGTTCAGCATTTTTGTTTGTTTGTTTCAAACCTGGAAATTCATAGGAATGTATTCTATAGATTAATAAATATCCTTAACAGCACACATATCTGCTGCTCTGCAGTTTTCTCTCCATTGTTCTGTTTGGTTTCTGTTTTTTTAACCTTGTTCTGAGCCGAACCACCAACACAAGAGGAGGCCGTAAAACTGGTAAACATCAGTTTAAAACAATCTTTTTCTTTTAAATAATCTGGGTGTTAAAACACGACCATCTATCGTGTTCAGGTGCTGATTCAAATACTTCAAAGAAGTTTTTTTATTTGTTACTCACAGAGGAATATTGCAACATTTGCCAATTTGGGCTTTGGACTTTTCTTAATGTAATTTATAAGATATTTTAACAGAAGTAGTTGTCAGAGCTGTGAGTCCTTTGGGAGTCATTTTCAGCAAAAAAAACCCAAAAAACAGACATAATAAGAATTGATAATAAGTGACGTCATACTAACATGACCAGCTGTAGTCTGGAGTGGGTATACATCCTCTGTGGGGCTGACCTCCTGCCTCATCACCCATATCGGCTCAACAGGCTGGTCAGGTGTGTAGGGGGAGCGTATCGTCTTAGTCTTCACCTCCTCAATCGCCTCCTTGATGTCTTTAATCGCCAAGCTGATGGCGTCTCCTGAGCCCCTTGAACCTTCCTCCCCTGGGGGACCCATCATATTCCGCTCCTCCTGAGTCTCACCTGAGCTGCTCTGCCCAGACGAGGGGCTCTTGTCCTGGGTGTCTCCGTGTCTGGCTGCCTGCCTACGATTTTTTGAAACAGGGCTTTGAATGCCGCTGTCCCCCTCGCCGTCAGACTGTCCGTCATAGTGGTGCAGCCGGCAGCCAACAGAGCGGTCCAGAGGAGAGTGATGTGAACTGCGGTCTCTGATCTGCCTTGGTGCATGATAGGAGCCCTTGGTGGGGGAGGTTGGAGCCATTCTTTGTACATTTGCCTCTCTGTGGCTGGTAAAGGGCTCTTGGCGGGACTCCTGCTCATTAGACTCAGTGCTCCGATTAGGTTGTCTGCAAGGTTCTCTGTGTAACTCAGGGTAGGAGGTTTTAAGGGGTTCAGGAAAAGAGTTTGGATGGGATTTTGGCTCTGAGTAGGACTCATACACAGGTTCCGGGTAAGACTTCTGGTGGGACTCTGTATAAAAGTCTGCATAGGTTTTTGGATAGGATTCAGAGCAGGAAGTGGAGTGGGACAGTGAGCACGATTCAGAGTAATCCTCATCTTCATCTTCAGGTAGGTCATTGTCAGGTACGGGGCTCATGCTGGTGTCTTCACTGAAGTGGTCCAGCTGGGGAAAAGGTGGAACATCAGGAGACGAAGGAGGAGTTGGTGACTGGAGCGGTGGTGGGCTGTGGAGAGGTCCGTCCATACTGAGCGAAGCGGCGCTCTCCGTGTCAGAGCAGAGGTCAGTGATTTCGCTTCCCTGAGCAGCAATGTCCTCTGCCACCTCTTCCATCACTTCCTCCTGATCCTCCTCCACCCTCTCTGCACATTCCTCTTCTCCATCATTGACTGTCTGCATGTCGTCACGGCTGCAGCTGGAGTGACCTGTGGGTGAGCGGCGGTCTAGATCATCCTCTGCCTGTTCTTGTTCTTCATCATTCTCCCTAACTTCCTCCAATTCCTCCTCACACTCTACTTTATGGTCCTGGAGGTCCTCTTCTGCCTCAGGGGGTGGAGTGTATTGGGGGTTAGGTTGAACATTATGAGTTGCAGGTCCAGGTGAGAGGTGGGTGGGGGTAACAACAGCAACAGGAGTCTGCTGAGGAGATCCCCTGTCCTGCGACTGGTCTGTTACACAATCATCTGCTGAGCACTGCTGCACCTGCACCTCTGCTGCACCTTCTCTGTCATCCACACCATGTGAAGCGTCCTGCATCTCTCTGCTTGGTTGCCTCTGTCTGTGACCTCTGAGCCTGGGGTTAGGGTCGCCATGACGACGGTAGCGAGCAACAGCAGGGCGGGGTTGCTGGACAGGATGAGGCTCAGTGTCCCGACTCTCGCCCCCATCCGACCTTGAAGAAGCCACCGCTGGGACCAGACCAGGACTCTGAGCCTGGCTTTGGCCCTGCCCTGCGGGAGGGCGCCGGCGGTGCCGAGTGGGTCCGCGACCTGTGGGCGGGTGATGGTGTTGGTGAGGAGGGTGATGATGATGGTGATGATGATGGGGATTCAGTTCCCCGTCCTGGTTGAGCATCTGACATGGCCTCCAGGACCGTCGTACAGGAGGTTCCCCGCGTGACGTCCCATTGGGCTGCCTGTTCCTCAGAGGCACCTTGTGCTCCTCGCCTGCTTCCCCCATCTCCTCTCCCTGATATTTGTGGCTCATGGCTGGGGCGTGATCCGTCTCTGATTTTCAGAACATGCTTCTCATGTCTCCAAGGAAACCCCGCTCATAGCACAACCTGGCAGAGAGAGTGACAGGAGAGAAACACAAAAAGTGAAATCACAGAAATAATAGCTCCAAGGAGAGGTTAAATGTTAAAAACAGAAGTGTTACTAGGGCTGTGTATGTCCATTGAGAACAGCTTCAACTCATTCTCAGAAAATACCAGAGATCAATATCTTAATTATCCATCTGTTTGGAAGTGGATAAATATTCAGCAATGACTGTGACTGACTATTGCTTTCATCAAGTTTTGATGTCCTTCATTTAGGTTTATATGCATCTACAGCTTATTAACCATTCCACCCCAACATCTCTACACAGACAACACTAAAAGGAAATATTACAGTGATGTGGAGTATCAGGCCAGGGACTCCCTGTCTCTATACTGCTAATAGCAAAAACCTAAATCCTCCGGGATTCATCTGGGTGTGCAGTGCACTTTAATCTGCACCACATTCATCCGTCCACCAGCAGCTGGCAGATGGCACAGGACAGGAGAAGAGAAAATGAGGAGGAGGAGGAGGAGGAGGAGGAGGAGGAGGAGGCGGCAGGGCAGAAGGACAAGGAGAGACATCTCTTCGGCATCTGATAAGACCTGACTGAGAGGAATGGATAGGGCAGCAACCTGAATAATAAATGCCTTCTGTGAGTGAGAAGCCCAGTTTTGATATTTATTTAATATGACGAGGCTATCGGGGCTCCATCAGCTATCTCCTATCACAGGCTACACTGTGTCCAGGGTCAACAAGTAGAGAAACCACACCAGAATACAATCCTACTAGATATTTTAGGAATAAATGAGGTGATTCCAGAAAATGTCACCAATGGAGGAAGAAAAAGGCTAAAGCTTGTTTAGGAAGGCCTATATGAAAGCTTAAAAGTATTTCTCAGTATTGATCGATACTGTATCTCGATAAGTTGCACTAAAGCTGCTATCATAAGTTATTTATCTGAACATAATGATCGTAGGAATCCATAAATGTGTGACTGCATGCATGAAAGAATCAGTTTTTACTCCTTTAGACTCCCTAACCCAGCTCTGTACTTAATGGGTACTGAACATCTCAACTACGAGTACTAAAATACAAAAGTACTAAAATAATCTTGATTGGAATCCAGACCATTGTTGCTATTTTATATAGATTATAAATTATCTTGTCTGGCATTATAAATTTACTTGATAAGTTACAAGAAACATCTGACCTAAAGGAGATTCAAGGTGATCTTGATTGATTAAAAAATGATTGTGAATCTACTTCAGAGCTTCAGACATTGTTGCATTTAAAATAGTTATATAGTTAATAGAGTTTATGATACACTCTCTGGTCAGCCCAACTTCTTCAGGGCACACTGGATGCTACAGTGATATGCTATCAGTTTATTTCTTGCAAATAAACTCCTTGGGGAAATATCTGGCTCTTTAGTTGTTAACTGCGGGGTTTGGTCTTTAGAGCTTTTTCTCTGAAAACATCTAAAAACTATGCTCAGAGGGAACCACAACAGTAAAGTTGAGGGGAGCTGCACATGCTCTTTTTCAGATTGCCATCTGATACAATCTTATTATAATGCCAATTATCCCCTTTAAGTTAAATTGAGCTAATTTTTTGTGGAGAAATCTACAAAGAAATACTAAGAACAATAGAAAAAAATATTTTTAATGTACTTCATATGTAAATACTGGATCCATTTGAATTTTAATTCTTGCTTTCATCTTTATAATAAGTTCATTTCCAGTGTTTCTGATCCATTGCATCAATTAGTAGACTCTTGCATAAACAACATAAATTTGAAATAGGATTAAGAGGCAACAGAAGGTTTACTGATGTGTTTATCATCTTATATAGATAAATTCTAAACTGAAAACCAAATATGGTTGACAGAGAGAAGACACAGGGGGCAAAGGTTAATGTTGATCCTGTAATCTGAGCACAAACCACAACTGCCAAGGCAGGAGCATGAAGGGGCGCAGCAGGAGTGAGGGTGTGCTCCCAGGGTGGCTAATGTCCCTCTCTGCCAAGAGTTTAAGACTGGATGGCAGCGGCTGGGTGACTCAGAGCGGGAAGTCAGAAAGGAGGAGTTGCCCAGGTCACAGATGGCCATGGAAGCGCAGCAGAGAGCCGGACCAGGCCTGCAGAGCTGTGAGCCGAGCACTGCAGTTCCATCTGTCAGGCTGCAGTGAAAGCTGCGGGGTGGGGGATTTACTAGCCCATTAACTCACTGATCTTATACTGACAAACACACAGTGACAACAACACATGTGTGCTCTGCGTACTCACATGGACCTTCACTGATTCACCTGTGCTCACTAGCCATTACGGTAACTCTCTCTACCACATGCCAGAAATAAGGTTTAATGGTGGAATTCAGGTTGCAAAAAAAAAAAAAAAAAAAAAAATCATTATTGATGTGCCAGTCAATTATTTTATTATTGATAAAGAATTATTCTGTCTAGTTTATTGTGAAAAAATATCATCAAAATTTCCCAGAGCTCAAGGCAATGTCAGTAATATGATGCCAATTCCTACATTATTTGTGCTTTTAGAAGGTATTTCCACAAAGAAACAGTCAAGAGTGGTGATAATGAATATGATGACCAACCAGGAAGAGACGAGTACTGTTCATTTCACTCACCGTCAGCAATCAAATAAGCTCAGAAAATTGCCAGAGAGCACAATATTAATCTTCAGTTTAGTGTGTTGCTTCTTTATTATAGACCATGTAAAATTAAAACAGCTTCCCCTGAGTTAACTTTGCACCTGTAGTTCTTGGGCAGGATTATTTGCTGCTGTACATATGAGCAATACAACACAGTATATAAAATGGCAATCTGACAAATATCGGGGATCAATAGAAATCAAAAATCATCCCAGTGAATCACTGAGTTCATTTTGAAAGCAAGGTTTTTAAACGATCCTGGACATGAACCTGAGATCTTATGCCAAAATTGTTAGGTGATGAGGTTAACAGACTGATAGTAGTGCAGCGTTAAGGAAAAGGCAAGATTTACAGCACATCAATGAAATTAACAACCAAATGCATTACACAGGTGGTATCTAGTACCTAGTAGTATCTATTACCTGTATTTAATCCTGAGTTTAAATTTCAACCTAAACCCAGACCCAAATACTGCACTAACCTTAAAATATGTCCTAAAGTCCCAACAAGTGATTACGGTAGTTGATTGGCTGATTAATCTACAAACAGAAAATAACATGATGAAGATTTTGATAATAGGTTTAAGTATTTCAGGCAAAAATGGGAAATATTACCTCACCCCATCTTCTGGATTGTGAGTATTTTCTGCTTTTCTTTGAATTGTGTAACATTGATCTTAAACTCTTAAGGTTTTGTATTTTGTTTGCCAAATACAATTTGAGGACATAACCTTGGGCTCTGGGAAATTAAAACAGGCATTCTTCACTATTTCCTGGACAAAACAATTAATCAAGAAAATAACTGGCAAATTAATCGATCATGAAAATAATCGTTAGCTGCAACTGTCCCCACTTTGGGGGATTCTCCTCATCTATCTATTAATGAGCCCATGATTCATCACACACACACACACACACACACACACACACACACACACACACACACACAAGGTTTGGATGCATCAATAGTCGTATTGCTTACTTTGTGTTTACATGTTGACTACGCCATAGCTCCAGAGGGAAAAGATTAATCCATGTACAAGTGCCAAACTGGCAAGTGCTTTTATTTTGAAGGCTACTGGCTTCTTAAATCCCCTTCCATGGCCTTGAACGTTTATATCATGTTAAAAGGCATTATCAATTAGTGATCAGCCTCGCACCTGTATCACTTCTTTGAATTGCATTTACAATCCAGGGTCTAATTCTTAAATGATCATAGTGTTATTCTGGATATGATGGACGTATATCCTGGGTATTACATACTGTCTTTCACTGTCTCCCAGTGTCTAAAACGCTTGACATCTATACAAGAGAAAGTAAAAATGTACAGTAAACTGTCAGCAGTCTAAATGCTCCTATCGTCCCCCCCCTGACAGTACAGATTAAATCTCCATAGGTGTCGGATCCGCCATCAACGGAAAACGACCTGAACATGTTCTCAGTCCGCCGTCCTGCCCCACACTAAACCCGGCCTCCCGTTACCGGCTGCCGGACATGACATTCACTCATTTACCTGCATGTCAGTGGCGGAGAGGCCCGGGTCCGGCTGCTGCAGTACACATCGCCGCTGTTCCCCGTGCCTGCTGGCTTGGCTCGGCTTGGTTTGGCTCTCGCTTGTCCCTCCAGACAACTTGCACGGATTAAAGCGGAGAGCTCAGCCCCTCCTTCTGCACCGTGACATCAGAGCGGATTAGCAATGCACAAAGCGCCTTTACAAACACTGCTGATGCTGGTGGCTCAGCGTCGTCCCACCTACTCCATCAGCAGCAGCAACAGCAGCCTGCAACGAGCTGTTATGGCTCTGCCTGCCTGCTGCACCACCGTAAACGGTCATGGTCCCACGGCCTGCCGGTGGTGTCGCTGTTATCTGCCTATTCAAGATGCTCCTGGACAACTGAAACACCTGTAAGAGCTGGACAGGTAGAAAAAGTAATATCCAACCGTAGTTTGTTCCCAGTTGTCTGTCAGCTAAACAGGAATTCTTACGTGTCTGTGGGCTCACATTTAACCCAGGTTAGCGCTGTTAACCGTTAGCTAACAGTTAACCGTGATATGCTAGCTAACGTTAGACAAGAATCTTTTTTCCCCATAACAAATGTGAACGAAACTTAAAAAAAAACGCTTAATGACACTCGCCACCGTTGCTTCCTTATTTCAGCTGAAACAAAAAATATTTAACCTGCTTTGAAATTAAAAATCGGAAGTGGCCAGCGGCGCCCCTGTTATCAGTCCTGCTAATCAAAGATGGCAGCTGTTCTCTCCAGGTGAAGAACAGCTGGTGGTTAATTATCCACCAGTCAATTAGAAATACCACTGAATCTCTAAGTTTCGACAATAAGAACATGGTAAGTGTAGTTAATCAGCTTTAGGAATTATTTAAAGAGATTTAGGTGCTTTTTGCTTTAATATTTAAAACTAATGTTAGTTAAGTTATCAGTAGTAATTTTCATATATTGTTATAATGATGAAATGGGCCTTTTTCACAGTGCATTATGGCTTACCGGAACTCTCGAATCTAACAGAGCCATTGTTGATGTTGTTAGTAACACCTGTGCTTTTCCTAATATGACACATAAAATTGCTGTGAAAAACACCCATGAATGTGTTAGTTCTCTCACCTTTGTTTCATATGTGGCAGACATGGTCCAATGAAGTCGGGAGCCTATTGGCCTACTGTTAACCATACGCAAAATCAGGAAATAATTGAATAAGATAATGAGCCTGATAACCTACAAGACTAGAAAGGAGTAACAACAGGCCTCCATCTTTGTTTGGCTTGGGAACAAATGAGTCACAACTTGGGGAAACAAAAATCTTTATTGTGCTTTAGGTGGAAATTTTCCCTTCAATCTCAACAGAGGAGTCATTCAGGAACTTGTGAGAGAAATAATATAGCATTCATTTTTTTCCTTAAGTTGTCCAGATATTCGAAATCTTTGACACTTACTGCGTTGCTTTAATGTGAAATGTTTTAAGACAGACTTCGAGACATTTTTAGACCCTAACAAATATGCCACGTGTCAAACATTTATTGCAATAATCCCACATTCCCACAAATGTTTTTATTTCATTTCATGAGTGGATAGTGTAAAGTAGTAAAGGGTAACAGGAAAGTTCATATTTTATATACTATACAGCATGTGTCTCACTTGTGAACTTACAGTACTTTTCTGTTAAGTTCTGGCACCTTTAAATAACACTACACAGCCATTATGATCTGCGCATCAGATTGTTATGGCTGTGTACTGTTACATAGTGTAACTTAATTTTGATGAGACGCTCTTGAGCTTATTAATGTCCCATCATAATAATCAAAAGTGATGTTCATGAAGTAATTAACCACAGTCATTAATACAGTTGTTACTGAATATGAACACATTAACATGTCGTCACACATAGGTGGTTTAATGTTAATTTATATTTTAAAGCATTGATGGGTTAGAACAGTTTCGATGAGAGATATTTAAAATTAAAATGCAAATTTATGCAGAACAGTTTTCTCTTTTTATTGTTTTTAGCTTTTTTGTGTAAAAGAAAATGACACAATACCTTGTCATTCCAGGCCTGTTATTCTTGTTGATAGGCTGGCATGTGTGATATGAAATTTAGTATCTAATCATGGCTGATACACTGAGTGTGAAGCAGGGTGGGCGGTGTTTGAAGGGCCCCTGGCATAATAATCTGGTGTCACTCAAGCCCTGGTTGAGTAGATCGATCACATTGTTGCGTGTCCTGTAACACATTCTCACCTAAGTCACATGCACCCTTCCATTGGAGCAGCCGTTACCGTGACAACAATATGTGATGGAGGATGGCGATGGTGCGGAGTAGTAACCATGGCATCCAGTCTGTTATTTGCCCTCTCTGCAGCCACGCAGCTCTTATCCCACACAAACAGCCTGTACGCTTCTGTAAAGTACAGGCTGTGAACGTTTGGCTGAATGTGGAGGCGTGTATGACACATTTTAATGACCCGAGCCAATCAAAACGCTCCAAAATATAGAGTGCAACGTGCAGAATCAGGTCATCAGAGAGTATCTGAGGTAACGTTATCACTCCGCTGCTGGCGTTAACTCATGTCACACAACCTATATTTCATGCCAGTCCAGTTCTCTGCTGCTCTAGTTCCTGAGAAGGCATCAATAATTTGTGGCCCTCATTCTCTCCCTGCATGGATGAAGGTATACTGAACATGTTCTGTCTGTAGTTGTATGGCACGCAGAGAGCACAGACTGAAGCCATTACTGGAATTAACGCACATTAATGTTTCATAGTTTCCCATTACACGGTTATCTCTTATCATGCAGAAACCCAGTGGCCTCGATTAAATGCACACTGCAGGTTCCAGTTTGTTCATGAGCCAGTCAGGGTCCATGTTCACCTGCACAGAGCCTGTGATCTCAGCAGGTCTGCAGGTGGCGCTCTGCTGCAGGAGGACTGGTGGCATGATGCTGTTTGCACTTTATTGTCACTATTGTCCTATAACATCCACATTTGAATATTGTGATTGTGAGCATGTTAGCATGTTGACATTAGCATTTAGCTCAAAGCCTAAGTAGAGCCTCCAGAGTTGCTAGCATGACTATAAACCTGTTTAAAAATACATAAGGAGTGGGCCTGAGTATATTATGAAATCAAAAAATAATTTATAAACTATTGCTTTGTTAACAATCTGTATATGATTTCTGACATACTGTGTTATCATCTTGTACAAATGTATTTCAATGTATATACAGTATATTAATTGCTTTTCCTGTTATAAAAAAAGATAAGTGAAGATAATAAATGGTTTCTAAAAGATCATGATATATCTGAGACCTTTTTATGTAATTCAGAAAATTACAAATGTTGAAATAGAGGTTTTTCCCTTTTTTTATTTTTAACAAATTATAATTACATTTATGTACAGTTAAATTACAATTTTCTCTTCTAGTTTGCCTTGATTAACGAAGTTTGTGATGAGAATTGGTATTCTGAAAAATCATCTGGAAAAATGGAGCAAAAAAAAAAGCTGGAATGAAAAAAAGTAGGATGAAAAGTAGGATTACATAATAATGTTTTACAAATGTATTGGATTATTTCATAAGTTTATGGCTATATAACAAATTTTTATGGTATTTATTCATATAATTATTTGTTTGCTATTGAACTAGTTCGGACTCCATAATAAATGACATGTACAGCAAGAGATCAGTATTATAAACTGTTACTCATTCTGCAAACAAACTGAACAAAAGCACAATATCTGGGACAAGTCTGCAGAAACAGATTTATGTCCATGTTTCCCTTGACAGTGAAATCTCAGTATTAAACATGAACGATAATAAAAATTTTAATTGTTTAAAGGTCACTCCCACCCTGAGAACAGAGGAGATCGAGTGTTTGATGATTGAAATCAAGATTTATGTTACAACTAGACATTTCCATACAGATAAAATAAATAATAATGCCTATCCTAAGTTGCTTGTTCTGTCTTCGGGCTGAGCCAGTGGTCTGGAGGGTTCCCAGAGGAAGGGTGGAGGGCCAGAGGGGACCTAACCTGCTGATCCCTCTGGCCAGCAAGTTACATACTGAGGAGATACTGTCATAACTGTATCATCATGCAAACATTACTCTGCATGCACTGCACATGACACATTCTGGTATCCTTCACTTATTTCTTAAAGCTCCATATTGTTGTTTACACAGACACAGGCAACCAGGAAATTAAACAGATGACCGATGGTTTGTGAGGATGGAAATTTAAACCAGTTGAAAACTAAAATTGTCTTTGGAACTGGATGAATGCAGAAATCCCTGGACATACAGTGATCCCTTGAAAACAGGCAAGAATATTTTCTCAATCTCCTTTGTTCACAACCAAACTGTTCAGATTGTTTGCATTTACACTTGAAAATAATTATGAGTCATTTTCTCTCATACTTAGATCCTTATTTGCTCAAGAAAGAACACTGATGGCTGCAGTCTGGTCATATGGACAAAATCATGGGAGAACTCACTTCTCCATCTGGTTTGAAGGTGTTCATGGTGTCCATAGTACCTCATTAAACTGAGATAACTGAGTGAGGAAAGTGGAGGAATGGACATGTACAGTACAAGACAACTGCAGAAAGGGAGAGAAAGAGAGAGGCAGAGAAAGAAAGTCTAACAGATGGATCACAAATGTGGAAGAGAGAAAAAATTACAGCATGGTCTAATCTCCCATATCCAACATGGTACATTCTTTTCTTCTCTACCTCTCATTGTCATTCCCTTCTGCAATGTCACTAGAGTGAAGGCGTCCAGAATTCAGATTCAACTTTTTTTTTTCCATTAATCGCTCATCAAAAAAAAAAAATTCTTTTTTTGCATTTGGGCAGGACACAGTGTCTCTGTTGTGACTGCTTTAAATTCCTATGTGGCTCATTAACATTTAAGTAAAACTGGTGTTCTCTGTATGACATAGTCATGTCATTTTTGACATGCACATGTAGGTAAGGCAGAATTACTTAATGTTCATATTCAAAAATACGTAATGCCTGCAAGCTTTTGAGACCAGGCACAGTTTAGATCATTTGTGTATTCAGGCCTCTCCTTAAACAGTGAAGCTTCCAGACACGCATGTTTTTGTGCAGCTTTAGCATACAATACACAAAATAGTCAATGATATATTGTACACCGTTTGGCCCAAAAGTATCTACATATGTCACACATATGTGGTTGTTGAACATGTCATTCAGTTAAAGAAACCAGAGTTTACTGCTTGTAGGAGACCAGAAGTAAATAATGATCTTCATTGTCAAAGTCAGACCCATCCCTGCACCCGAGCTCTTCCCTGAGATGTTTTGTGACCATAGAACAACATCCTGCTCCTTGTGCCTTTGTGTTTCTTGAATGAGAACAGTGATACTCTTGTGGCTAACTGCAATGAAGCTGGTCAGTGACCAACTGGTGCAGATTGTCCCTGGAAATCAGTGCTGAATTCCTCCACACAGTTAGCTTAAATGCACAGTATGTCATTTTCTACCACTAGGGGTCTCTCAATCAAAACAATAAGAAAAGACGGAGTTTGGTGACATCATGAAGTAGCATGGGATCATGGCAGTAGTTGTCTTCACCACCATTGCCATCATTCCAGTCAGCTACTCTTGGTGACGATTTCTTCATTGTCATTCAGGAGGTTTTTACCGTGAGCTGAATTAACTGCGAGGTCTTCTCTTCTCCAGAACTAACAAACCTGGTGATTAAAACAGATAAAAATAAAGCAGTTTCACGTTAAAAATCTGTGTTTCTCCAACACTGTTTGGCGAACAGAGGAGGTGTAGTAGCCTAGCTGACACTAATGAAATGTACCATTACCATGATTTAAAGTCATGATTGGAAATATATATATGATATATATACATAGGTCTAGTCTTTGTTTTTGGACATTTTAAAGCAGAAAAGTTACATATTATAACTTTAAAATTTATCATTGTCATTTTCTACTGACTGTGTGTGGGAGTCACAGCTTTCACCCATTCTCCTCTGCTCCTCTTCATAATAATTAAGAGTCTACCATTTGTTCTCAGCCAGCCTTCAGTAATTAATGCCATAACCACAAGAGGCTGCTCTCAAAAAATGAAAATGTAAACATAATTTGTTGGTCATGCTGTTCTTCGCAAAGACGCTTCCTCCTCCTCTCCCATTGATTAATCTTCATCTGCCTAACTTTTCTTCCTCAACCTCGCAGTCTTCTCACCAGCTATCCCTCCTCTCCTTCTTAACCCCCACCCTCCCTCCCACCAGCTCATCACTCACCTTCTTTTTCTCCTCCTCCTCTCTGTCCCAGACCTCACTCTTTCTCCTCCTCCTTGCTCTGTTATCCAGACACACACACATATCCCAGTGGAGAGTCTGCAGTGTGCTGCCAGTCTGTGAGCTGGAGAGACACTCAGGCGACACTCACATCAGAGAAGTCTTCAAAAACAAACTTTTGTTGCAACTTCTTGTATTTTCCCAACTGTGGATGCAAGACCTACTTTTGCTTTTCTTATTTCCTCCAGAAGTCAAGTTTATTTCCACAGAGAGCTGCAATGCTTCCATTCTACCTCTTGACTTTTGCTGGTGAGTACATTTATTAATGGTTGTGCCAGTGCTGGTGCATGAGGGCATGTTTCTGTTAATGCCAGTTGCTATGATTCATAGTTACCATTCCCTCTCTGTAATGTCTTTCCTCTCTCTTTTTCTCTGTCTATGCTCAAAGCCACCATCCAAGCCTACATCCAGCTGTTGCCAGGCTCCTGCAACTTTGAATCCAACACCTGCGGATACACGTCAGATACCGACTTTATGAGGTGGACCCTGCACAAAGATGGTACTGGAAGACTTTAATGGATGCCACACTGCATCTACAGTCCTCTTTTTTTAAATTTAGTTAAGGGCCTTGTGATAAGTGTAGACTGTATCATGGCTTTTTTAGCAGCAGTTACAGGTTTAATTGTGATGCTGTCGTTGTTTTGGTGCTGACTTTGGCCATACCACTGAAGCACACTGGTGAAAAGAAGCCCATCTGTTCTGCATTGATTCCAGCATCTCAGTCTGAACATCTGGAGTCAGTGAAATAACACATTCAGGCATTCTCTTTGGGTTGGTAGAGCAGCTGATACGGATGAGTACGGAGCACACCCATATCTTAGTTATGTCATTGCCTATTTATGTGATGTGATCAAAGCCAACAGATGTCTGCAAATAAGATCATTTGTACATGATTTAATCAATGCCATTACTCTGTTGCAGAAACAACAAAACAGTTTCTAACACCCTCATTTGCTGTAGCTGTAATTAGATCTAATACACATGTAGACTCTTTTGTGGAGAGCTAATTCCTTGCAGGAAGTATTTCGAAAGGTCTGACTGCAGGTGTCTTGTTGCACTAGCAGCAGGATCCACTTGTGACATGAATGGGGCCTGTTTTAAGAGGTGGAGGTTATGTGGATGTTAGGAAACACTCTCAGATCTTTAGCCCAGTCTTACTCATACAAAGCCTATCCCTAAATTTAACCATCTTTCTGAATCTGATAATCCTAAATTTGGAAGGCCTGTCATACTAGACTCTTGGTGAATGATGCACCAGACTTGGTTCAAGAACTGGTCTGATTCCATTCTCCCAAATCCTAGTCAAATCGGGCAGCCATATTCGGGCAAGAACCAGAATACATCTCATCCCGGAAAATATCTGAGTGAGCTGAGCCAAGATAAACTTCCACATCTCTAAACTAAAGCCAGAATCATCATCATTTTTAACCTTGTATCCATGTGCGTTAACTTTGGAGATGGAGTCAGGGGGTGATTACCCTAGCTTAGCATGAAGACTGAGAGTAGGGGGATACAGCTAGATTGTTCCAGTGCATAAATCCACTTAAAATCACAAAGAAGAGTTTTCATGTTTCTGTTTGTGTAAAGATTAAACAAGAAAGATAAAATATGTTAATATCAGCTTTAGAGGTGGTAGAGGCCATGTTCTTGAACTGCTAACCAGGCTAGCTGCTTATCCTCTTGCCTTCAGTCTCTTAGACTAACAGTGTCCCGATTCCAGCTGAGTATATATCCCACAGACATCTTATACCCAGTGACATAGTGGTAACTAAAGGAGTAGAAATAGCCAAGTCATTGAGAAGTAACTGCAACCAAACAACCTGATTCATTATCAGTTCATTTATTGGCTGTTTTTCCTGATAAATTAATCATTAATTTGGTCTATAAAATGTGAGAAATAATGAGAAATGTCATTTGCTAATTAACAGAGCCTGTAATGATATACTGTTTGTTTTGTATGAGCGGCTATCATAAAAAGAAACATACAGAAATATAACAATATAACTTGAGAAGCTCAAACAAGCAAATGTCTGATATTTTTACTCTGACATTAGTTACATCTTATGAGTGTGGATCAATCTCTTGATTGATTGACTGATTGCTTCAGCACTGTTTAAAGGTACAATCAGAGCTCACTTGGATATATCCTGCACTGTGGTTCCCATGCCTAACCAACTCTCATCTAAACCCTTTTGATTAGTGCAGACTTCCTCCAAGCATGCCACTGTCCTGCTGCTGCAGTAACTACCGTGTCTGCAGCCAAACCCTGTTGGAAAAAACTTCTTAATAGGACTTTTTTTTTCCATCGTTTCTTGCTCATACTTGTCTGAAAATTGCTCTGCTGTTGCAGCCTGTCTCACTTTCTGTCTTTCCCCTGGGAAATGTCAACCACTTTCTCTTTTCCTGTTTCCATCCTTGTTGCTGTTGCTGCCGGCTTGTTAAAAAGATCAGGGTAGTTGGTGCGTTAATGGTGTGCTCAGCTCCTGCTCATTTATTCTCCTCTCTCAATCCTCTTTTCCTTTTCTGTGCTCACTGCAGCACGTCTGATGCTCTAACACAAGTGAAGTCATGTCTTATATATTTCAGTTTTTCTCATCTAAATCCAAATGAAGCACAGACACTAATTAAACCAAGGAAGCCCATCCAGTTTGAGTGAGTCAATGTTATAATTAAGTGTTTTAAATTCCAATTCAGTGTCTAAATACAAACATTTGCAACCAATTGCAGTTTACTGGCAAAAAAGAAGAACATTTTAAATTTAAGGTGAAATGAGCTCAGCCATGGTGTGTGTATGTGTGTGTGTGTGTGTGTGTGTGTGTATGTGTGTGTGTGTGTGTGCGTGTGTGTGTGTGTGTGTGTGTGTGTATGTGTGTGTGTGTGTGTGCGTGTGTGTGTGTGTGTGTGTGTGTGTATGTGTGTGTGTGTGTGTGCGTGTGTGTGTGTGTGTGTGTGTGTGTATGTGTGTGTGTGTGTGTGCGTGTGTGTGTGTGTGTGTGTGTGTGTATGTGTGTGTGTGTGTGTGCGTGTGTGTGTGTGTGTGTGTGTGTGTATGTGTGTGTGTGTGTGTGCGTGTGTGTGTGTGTGTGTGTGTGTGTATGTGTGTGTGTGTGTGTGCGTGTGTGTGTGTGTGTGTGTGTGTGTATGTGTGTGTGTGTGTGTGCGTGTGTGTGTGTGTGTGTGTGTGTGTATGTGTGTGTGTGTGTGTGCGTGTGTGTGTGTGTGTGTGTGTGTGTGTGTCAGTGTATTTGAATACACATGTGTTGGTCAGGATATAGGAGCCCTGGGGCAACAGGGCATTCCACCAGGACAAATAATAAATGACAGACCAGTGAGGAAAGCTCAGAACTCCCTGGAGCAGAAAAGAAGCTAAGATTTGCTGTTATTGTGAGAGCTGAGGTGGATTTCATGTTGCACCAAGTCAGAGTATTTTCACTCTGGACAAACATCCTGATGCAAAATGTCTTCTGTGATTCTGTGAATTTGTGTAGCTTGTTTCAGAAAAATGTTTGAGTAGAAACAAGTTTTTAACATGTTTTAATTTCCTTTCCTACTTTAAAGAGAAACTGCTTTTCTTTTCTGAATCCAAGGACGATGCTGCACGGCACACCAGTTCGATTGTGTGCCAATATTATGATCAATTAAGTTGAAATTCAGTCAGTTCAATTGTTTCTAAAGTGCAGATTGCTGCTCAGATGTGAACCTTGTGTCCAGAGTGAAATATATCAACAGCCACTGGATAAATTGTCTGATCTTGATTTTTCATCATCATCATCAGGTCAAATTTTCAAGTTATTTGTCATGATAAATACCTGCAAAATGGCATACCCATCAGCCTCTGCTGCACTTTGTGATTATTGGTAATGAGCAAATGTTAGCATGCTAACACACTAAACTGCTGTGGTGAAAATGGAAGTCATAAGCCACTAAATAGCAGCAAGCTAGGATTCATCTCAAAGCACCTCTGAGCCTGCAGCATCACACAGCTGCTAGCAAGACTGTAGAGTCGTCTGGAAACAACTTTGTTGCTTGTTGCTGTGATCTTGGCAGTGCTCATAAGCAAGTACCTCACTCATTAGCAGTCATTCTGTAACCTATGTAACCTGTGACTTTCTCTGAGAATTTATGGATTTTGTGTTTTGCAGTTTTTAATAATCTTCTCCAGAAACATTTATCCAGGCTGATCCTCTTGTTCGCATCACTTCTTTGTTTTTCTTTAGTTTTTTTGGCAAATTACTACAGAGCTTAAGGTTGAATTTCAACATGATTTGTATCAAGTTTACATTTTCCAACTTTTGACCCCCTCCCTTAGCTGCTAAATTAAGGTGCTGATTGCCCAATCTCTTTTATGGCTGACAGATGCTGACAGATGGCATTCAACCAATGATATGAAAATTCTCCAGTGTATTATGATACAGAAACTGAGAAAAATAGATGCAGCCATGAAGTTTACAGTAGATTAAATTAAAAAAAATAGACCATATTTTCTTTGGGTATACATCTCAAAGATTCACTGCATTACTGGACGGCCTGATTCATTTAAAGGTAGGAATCTTTTTAAGGTTTCAGTTGTATACTCTGCTGTGCAGTAAACCTGGATTATTAATATGAAAGGGTGTTCTTTTTAAAATGATTTAGATGATGCATAGATCATGTTTATGTTACTTTATAACACTAGATGTCAGTGAAAATGAGTGGAAACCTGAAAGATAGAAAAAATGATAGTCAGCATCCAAAATCCTTTGGTGTACCATTGTTTGTTTGTTTGTTTGTTTGTTTGCTTGTTTGTTTGTTTTTATAGGAAAAAAGATCTCATAACATAGTCAAATAAAGTGAAGCTGACAATATTTTTGTCCCTCAAACATTGTTTTTTTTCTTTCTTTTTTTTCTTGAAAATAGCAATCTTCACAATTTAAAAAAAGATTTCTCACCTTTTTGTTTCAGGCCGTTTTGTCGCCGTGGATGGAGGCTTGACTGAAGACCAGAGCTATGAGACAGGTGCAGGTGACCGACCGCAGAGAGAGATCATAGGGGTCCTGCTGAGTCCACCTCTGGACCAGGGCGAGTGGAGCTGCCTGAGGCTCGTCTACCAGATCATAGGGTCAGGAAGCCTGGAGGTCCTGCAGCGTATGGAAGGAAGGAGCTTTGACAGGCCGCTGTGGAGCAGCCAGGCGCCCTCTGACAGCTGGGTCATCTCAAGCATGGACCTGCACAACAATACTGAGCCTTACAGGGTAAAACACTTAATAGAGTCCTTTGTTTAAAAAGGAGACCAGCTTAAAATGATAACAAGGCTGAAGTCTATAGCTCCTCTAATGGTCCTTGGAGGTTTTTTATGTTTAATTTATTCCATGATATAAAAATCTTGGATGAAACAAACGGCATACTGACAGTTTAACTATCCTTACAGCCTCAACAGTGGCGCTAAAAATGTCATGTTTATGCTGATGATAGCACTGAAGAAAAGGTCATACCCTTTCCAAAATGGAAAGTGATGCAATTGGAAGTTTTAGCTTAATCACCAGAAAAGGGCAGGAGGACACAGAAATATTAGATAGCATGAATCATCTGGGGAAATGAATATAAATAGCAAATATGCTGTAAATCTGGCTGTTAGTTTTTCAGACATCATAGACGAAAGTGGATGAAAACTCACTAACCTGGTTGGGAATCATTCAAAAGAAAACACAGAACAAAAACCTAGTAGCAGTTAACAGTCATGCACAACTATAAATCCAGTTTTAAATATGATGGAGTGTAACGGCCGCAGTTAGAAAACAAAAACAAAGAGATTTTGAGGCCGTGATGTTATGACAATAAAGGTGTAAAAAAATAAATAAAAAAAGAATATTAGTCTTGATACATCCAGAATATTCATAGTTTCAAGAAAAAGTAATATTTCAATTTGTTTACCAGAAAACTTTGTCACAGACTGCTTTATGAGACACACTGAAATTAGGCCATAAGCAGCATGACTGTACGGTCCAATGATCCTGGTAGATTTACTAAATTAGCACCACATTAATTTACTAATTATTTATTATTTATTGAATGCCATCAAAGATTGCAAGTGCACTGTTTCACAGCAATGCATATTTATTGCTGCTGACTTTCCAACCCTCTTTGTTAAAACAGCAGAAAACATTTCATGCTGTTGTTGTTAGGATGACAGATATAGGTTGACATTACACATGCAGGCCCACATTGAGGCCAATATGAAGTGTGTTGAAAACACACACACACCAACACACATTATCTAAACACTGGGTTGGAACAGTACAGCATATGTTTATATTATATGCAGAGGCAGAGCTGACTCCGACAGGGTCATGACCTACATGATGGTAAGCCAGGTCTGTGCTATGTGAGGGCCCCTCAGCGCATAAACATATTTCAGTCCAGACTGAGGTGAAAAAAATCAATATGTCAGAGGTTCAAACTTCCCACTGAGAAAATGTTCTGACAGTTACTTCACACAGACCCTCCAACACATTCTCACAGTACTAACTGTGATGAGAATGACTCACTAACTAAAGTTTCAAATGACTGTCACAGAAAGGACCATGGTTACACTCTTGTTTTGGCAAAATATTATTTGTCCATTGAAGGAAGAGGTTAGGAATTGGGGAAGCTAGGCTAGCTGTTCCCCCTGTTTTCAACCTTTAACTATGATAACCATGATCTTATTTTAACACAAAGACATGAGAGTGATATCAATCTTCTATTCTAAGTCTTAGAAAGAAATTTAATTAGTGTATTTCCCAAAATTATGTTAACTAAAAATGAAAGGCTGGATGGAAGGTAGCTATAGCTACATCTGGTACAAAGCATCTCATCAATGCTTGATGCATGGCTTTGAGCATGAACTATGGCAAGATCATAGTGTTACGGAGCTTTTTAGCCTCTTTTAGCTTCTTATCATTTTGGTTTTATGACATGTACTGGATACTATGACAGTCTCAGTTCCCCTTGATTTCTGATAACACCACTCTACTTCACCTTCCCAACAACAGGTAGCGACTAGCATTAGCTGCTGAAGAAAATGGAGAATCTAATCGCTAAAGAGCGAGATATTTTTCTCAGGAGTTGGTGGAGACCAAAGTGGAGCTAAAAGAAAGTGAATGTATGTCGGACAGTGTTTTCTGGATTTTGAAAAACTATTTGCCAACAAAAGATTTATTGTTCAGCCCTTGTCCACAATTTTTAACACACATATTAATGAAAACATGTATTCATCTAAATAAGTGCAAATGAAATCTGAGACTCAAATGTACTTTGCCCTGACCTTGTGTTATAACAAGCATGTTTATGCTCTGTGTCATTTCTTCTTCTTTAAGTCATTTTATTGCTGCTCACAAGAGCTTTGAAAGTAAATTACATATCATTACATTTCATGCATGCACTCTCTCTGACCTTCCAAACTGTAGATCACTGTCTATGATGTCATCTACATGCCACTCTGAATCACTGGATTCAGGTTGTTACTGACCATGTGTTTTTGATTAGGTTGTCATCGAAGGTAAACCTGGACAGAGTGATGGGAGCAGCGTGGCTATCTTTGAGATCCACATCAGCCCTGGATACTGCCTGGGTCAGTGACCTCACACATCCACTGATCAGCCAGAACACTGAAACCAGTCAGTTGAATGCTGTGGCTGATTAGTGTACATCACTCACTTTCTTATAACAAAAAGAAAAAAAACACGTATGAATGGCCGGATGAAGATCATCTGTGCTCTGTTCCTTAAACTTACACGCAGACACACATGAACATATCTGGTACATTGTAACGTTACAACAGCATGAGAGCCTTCTGCACCCACACCCATAACAGCAGCTGATTTCTCCTTTTTGCTGCATCCAGACTGTGATTTTGAGGAGTCTCATCTGTGTGGATACAGTAACCAGTGGAACGCCAATGTAAACTGGTATGTGGGAGGAGGTGGGGCCCAGCTCCTTCACAACACCATGCCAAATGACCACACATACAACAACAGCACGGGTGAGTGAGATTTACATTATATTCATACAAAGATGTTTCCTGCAGGTTTTTATTTTGGATGAAATGAGTCTGATGTACTCCGGATAGGCCAGGTGAATGCTAATTCTGTATCTTTCTTTATTTATTTATTTCTTTCTACAACTAAGGTTAGGTTAGGGTTAGGTTATTTTTTATACTTACTATCATTTACTCCACTTCTTAAAATATAAGCATTGTGTTATTCTATCATTTTTGGATTGTCAAATCCAAACAAATCCAACAGTGCATTCGTTTGTCTCTCAGCAACTTCTCAGTCTCAAGTCCTACCCCATTTGTTCCTACCAAAGGGTAACTGCAGGATTTTTAACCTGTGCCTTATTTTCCTGTGTTTTGGCTGTAAATGATTCATAGGGGCAAAAACCTTAACAATCAGTCCACTATTGAGCAAGGACGGTATACACAGCTGCTGCAGTTTAATCAAATGGTCAATTTGTCAACTAAAAGTCCATGTTTTTGCCACTCTTCAGGTTCAGGGTGTTGTTATAAATATCTAGCAACATTATGGATAGGATTCCTAAAGAGATACAACGTTATGTTAAAGAGTATGATCCTTTTTGTTAACCAGAAACAGCCTTTATATCACTCTGTGTAAAGCCACCACACTCCATTGATAAAAACAGTAATTTTACCCCACGCAACATGGGAGTTGCTGGTCCACTGCTTCCTCGATCGTTAGTTTGTTTGTGTTATTGTGTGACTTTCAGTAGTGGAGAGCTACTCAGATCCTTTACTTAAGTATAAATATTACACAATTACACAAACTAAACTGATTCCACAGGTGAACAGACCTCCTGTAAAGACTAATGCTTAGTCTCAGACATGTCATGACAAGACTGACCACACCAAGATTTTATTAACTATATTTAAACATGCAACAAGGACCTTCTTCAGATTGAAATATAGTCATTTAAATACTGTTGAAAGAATGGTTATATGTAACCCAGACTTTCAGCATTGATTTAGATGTCTAGACATCTGTTGACCTGAAATTCATTAAATCAGTTTTTAATATATTCTACAACCAGATTTTCATTTAAACTCTCCCTCAGGTCACATCATGTACGTGGACTCCATCTACGCCAAGACCTTCAAAGAAGTGGCCAAACTGGTGTCTCCTATGACTACGGTGCCGATGTCCGGCTGCCTGAATTTTCAGTACCAGCGGAGCAGGGAGGGAGGGAACCTGTTCTCTGTTTTCACCCGGGACCGACTGGGCCAGTACCAGGAGCTGTGGAGGGCGGGGTCAGAAAACCAGAGTGAATGGAGTGAGATGCTTGGAGAGTGGATACCTGTGCAGGTGGACCTGAAGGCACCATACTCTGTGCAGGTGAGCATGTGAACATGTTACAGTATATCACACTTATGTACATATTATTTTAAAGTTCTACATCATGACGTTTACATAAACAGATTCTGAGGTGAGACGATACATAACAGAGTATTCCTCTTACAAATGAAACATGGAATGAAGTAGAATGAACTCACAGTTGCAGTAGACTGAGGGGTTTTGCTGCTACAGCCTCACTTGGTCTGGTATGACCAGTAGCTTGTGACGGCTAATGTCAGCTAATATAAAGAAATTTAAGAAAGATGTTTAATTTCACTGACTTAATGACTCTTCTCTACCATTGCTACTGTTACACTACATGTAAGCTCAGTCAAATCACCTAATGATTTAAAGCAACTAATTCAAGATAACTATGGGAAATGTAGGTAAACTCATTGTGGCATTTCCCTGTCCCCTAATTGTCACTTGTGGCCTCAGTGGCCGCTGTTTGGCAAAAGTTAGATAGTCTTGCTTTAACTCATGATTTTCTACCAGTATAGTATTAGACTCTTAGAGGATTTAACAAAACATTTATCCCAACTGAAGACGCTTTATAGTCTGATCTATGATGTGCTGATACAAACTTGTTGCACAGGAAGTGATTACTGATAAAAAGAACAGATAAACAGATAAAAAACAATGATGTTGCAATTCAGTGTGTTACTCAACCCACCCTGATCATTATCTGTTTCTTGACGAATATCATCAAAAGTGCAACAAACTTCAGCTGTGAGTTTTGACCTTCAGGTTGTTGGTACTGTGGTAAGATGTTACACAGAGCTGAAGACAAAGCTTCAAACAGTCAGCAGTAGTTGTGTTCATGAGGCCATACTAGGTTCTTTTTTGCTTTTTCATCCACTTAGTTTTACATCATGAATCAAATACATAGATAAAATAAGAAAATTGCTAATACCACAAAATTGTACATACTTACATTCACATGTGTGTATCCATCTGCGTGCATTTGATTGCATGCAGCTTTGTTTATTAGCGACTGTCTCCATGTGTCTGTCTGCCCCTTCAGGTGGTCTTTGAAGTAGCATTTAACAGTCCAAGAGGCGGACGAGTTGCACTTGATGATATTTCCTTTTCTCCAGAGTTTTGCAGCACAGACACTGGTGAGCTGCAGACACAGTCAGTCATTGTTAATTCTAAACAGGCATGTTTAAATGCTACCATTCAAATAGTCACATTTATGATAGAATACTTTCTGGGTGAAAATATTAAACCTCATTTTCAGATTGAGGAGGATTAATAAATACAGAGGGAAGTCAGGAGGTGAAAGATAGTGACTGAGGGAAAGAAAAGGAAAGAAGGGGGGAGGTAGGACAGAAGGGAGAGAGTGAGTTAGGAAGGAAAAAAGAAAGGAGGGAGGGAGGGATCAAACAAATTAATTCATAAAAGAGTGAAGAAGAAATGAAGGGAAGAACAAAGGAATAAATGAACAAATATGTGAATAAATGAATGCAGAGATGAAGGAGGGGAGGGGGGGATAAAGGAAAGAAGGAAGGACAAAAACATGCACAGAATATATGATCAGCTTGAAAATCTTTATCAAACCCTGGAGGTTTACATGATGTGTGGATAAAAATGCCAGTTCTGTGTGGTGATATGGACATCATGGGCACCAAGGGGTTAAACAAAAGGTTTCATCCCTAAGGATGAATATGCAACTTAAATCTCATGGCCATGTGTATAGTATGTAGCAGCTAGTGGAGAGGTCAGGGGGGTCACTAAATATCTATATCAAATGTGAAGCTTGCTTGTATTTGTGGAAATATCTGGCTGTAGGTCAAAACACAATATGATACCAAAGTCATTAAAACATGAAAATCACTGTAGAGCTCACAGAAGTGCTGATTTAGTATGTTTCTCCACAGAGCCGACCTTCGACCCCTCCATCGCCAACTGTGATTTTGAGGCAGGTTTGTGCCAGTACACCCAGGACCAGGTGATGGGGTCGTCGTGGAGGAGAGTGTCTGTGAAGCCCAACATATTCAGGAATGGAGACCATACCACAGGAGCAGGTGGGAAAACAACAACTGATAATGGATATTATAACATTAAAACCTGCATTAAAGGAGCTATTTGTTAGTTTTGCTATTGCTACATAGCCAGCGTTAGCGTTAACAGCTGTTTACTTACCAGTGTAGAAGAAATGTAGTGAGTTCAGCTGTCTCAAAAGGTGGAAAGCAACGGCAATGTGAACTCTTCTCTCTATCACATCTTTTCTTCTACTGAAGTTAGCATGCTAACCAGCTAGCCCCGGCCTCTCTCGTCGCTTTCTGATAGCAACTCACTGTAGCCTCCAATCTGCCCTGAAGATGCCGTGCTGCTCAGAGGGCGTATTCTAGCCTTTCATATTATAAACACAACGATGGCCAAGGCTCTTGTCAAGCGACAATCACCACCATCTGCTTTCAGCACCTGCATGTTCGGCGGCAGAGAAAACTTACAGATATCCCCTTTATGCAGCTATAATCAATATTTTTTCTATAACTTAAGCCAGTGACAATGTGAAAACAATGTGACAAGGTGGAAGGGCTTGTGCCCTGATAATTTTGTCAGGAGTTGATAGACACTAAAAGACAAAATATTGGAATATATTTATGAGGTGGACACAAAAACAACTCCAATGAGATGATAATGTTGTGTCTGCTGCACTTGTATGGAGGCAATTTTTGCTAACATGCTAGCCAAAACAACTTTGTATGGTGTTGGTTCGTTTTGATTTTTTTTTCTGCCCCCTTGTGTTCAAAAAATCCATGCATGCAGCTGTAGGACGCATCTGGGGTGAAGAAAACAGGATTCAAAGCTGGAAAACATTTGAAAACTGTTAAAGTTAAGATCAGTGCCCAATGTGAGTGGTGATGGGAACATTCATGGCAAGCAGATTCCAAGGAAGTGAGAGTTTCTCAAGAAAATAAAAGCTGTCTTCTCCTTCCAGGGTCTTTCCTGTTGGCTCACTCATGGCTGAGCCCACGCAGCGGCTACATGAGCCGCCTGATCAGTCCAACTCTCCCTGGGAACATGAAGTACTGCCTGAGATTTTACTTTTCTCTGAGGGGTGAGCGGCACCCCACAACTCTCCAGATTGAAGGATATTTGCTAAGATTTGTTTTGTTTTTTCCTATGTGGTGGTGTTTGAATCTATGTGAGAATTCTTTGCTGTGATTTATTTTACTGACTCACCAACCACAAATAACTCTGGCAACTGCAGGTTACAACCAGACGGACCAGGCTCTGGCTGTGTATCTGCAGCAGAGCAGCAGCCAGGAGAAGATCTGGACTCAGGGGGAGAGGTCCAGAGGAATCTGGATCGCAACGGACATCACCTTCCAAACATCGCAGCCTGCCAAGGTCAGAGGACAGGAAGTGTAACACTGAAGGATCATCAGAGGATGTGTGAAAAAATAAACAAGGGGATAAACAGACAGAGGGAAGAAAGAAAGAAGAAAGGAGAGAAGAGAGTGACAGAAAGGAAAGGAATGAAGGAGGGAAGGAAAGAGCAAATAAAAGAATGAATGAATGATGGAAAAAACAAAAACATGTACAGAAGACAAAAATAGACAAAAATGGACAAAAAAGTAAAGGAAGAGAAAGAAAAAATGTGAAAAATTCAATGAATAAAGAAAAAGATGAAGGAAGAAAGAAGGAAATGTAATAAAGGGACTGTTACAGTAAAAGGGAAAGGAAGTATTTCAAAGAAAACTGAATCTATTTCAGTCAACTCAAATAAACAAGGTGATGGATCAATAAAATGATGAGGAAAGCAAAGCAGTTAAAAGAACGCAGGGCAGAAAGGACAAACAGTCCAAGCAAGAAATAACAAATAAAAAAAACAAATCACTGGTCGTCTCTTTAAAAACGTTGCTGTCTGCCCTGATGTTTGAGTCTCTTCCGTCATTTACTAACCAGCTGCTGTTAGAGGACACAGTATCACCATCATGTGTTCTGCGTGATGAGAATTAATTTATGCTGATGCCACAGTGCTCAAAGGCTTTCCCCACAATAACTTCATGTTTTTTTTTCTAAAACACTCAGCAAGACCTCCTTCCTTCCTCATGTGGGATTTCAGAGTCTCACACAAACATCTGAGCAGAAAGAAACAACCACAACAAAGTGTCTCAGGCTTTGGTTCTGTTCTGTTTGAGGCTGCTCTGTGAACCATTAATGGTCATAAAACTGCTGAATTGCTCTGGTACGGTGCAGCTGATGAGGACGCCGCTGCTTCTTGCTTTTGCTCTTCAGGTGGTTTTCATCAGCACCTGCAGGAGCTTTTGGGACTGCGGCTCCGTGGCTCTGGATGACATCAGCGTGAGCCTCGGGGACTGTGAGCTGACAGCAGGTAACAACTGCTGAATTAGTTCACTTCATCGTCAGACAGTCATCCATATATTTGTACCGCACTGTAAACAATACAATTCTTTCTGGTTAGATGCTAACTGCATGTCATTGGCTTTGTACCCGTACTGTGCACAATGATAATAAGGTCAACTCTAATGTAGTCTAAATTGCTATTTTTATAATGGAATCTGTTTTTCTGTGTATTTTGCATCAACACAGAGTGGTTGACAGTCATGCAGATTAGCTGATAGCAGTCATGATTTCTGGAGAAAACCTAAATCTTGCCTGGGAATTGAGGCTGGATTATTGACTGGGCAACACAAGAAACAAACATAATGATAAAAGCCAAAAGTTAGAACACGATACCTGTCAGCTTGTTAGGGAATGTGCAAGTGTGATATCAACTACAAACTACTTGTACCGTGATATGTTTGGGTACAATAATTGTACTGTGAAAAGAGGGGGGGAGGGGGGGGCTGCAGGGCCTCTGTGGTCAAATATCCAGATGTTGCGGTTTGAGCAACACTCCCAATCACTACCGGTGAAGACAAACTGATCAGAAATGAACCCTATCTGATGTTTCCAGTTAATCGAGGGATTCAAACTGTCAGTATTAAGGTTATCAGCCTGGATCACTGCCACTGCATCACTGTTAGTTTCCAAAGTTACAGTGTTGATTCGAAGTGTTATCTAATGTGACTGAAACATCTGAGTTTCAGGAGTAAACATAGATATTAAATGTCCACAGATTTTCAAGTTAAAAAGTTAGTTAAAAACGGGATCAGATTAATATTAAATTCTGAGTGAGTTGAGAGAGAAGAAGACAACGGATAAACATCAACTTCACAATAAAAACCTCTTGAACATAAAGTATCCTTCTTTTTCCTGTTACAGGTTTGCTGTCGTCTCCTCTGCCTGGACACTGTGACTTTGAAGCAGGACTGTGCGGTTACACTCAGGACAAGCACACTGATGCTGGTGACTGGGAGTGGAGGAGAGGACCCACACCCACCTCCTACACAGGTCCCAGAGGGGACCACACCACGGGACTCGGTAAGGGTCTCCTCCACCTCAACCCTTTTATTCTGTAACACAAAAATACACAAAAACTCTTTGAGGTGCTGTTGAGACAGGATGACTTTAATCAGACAAACCTGCTGACTTTTGATTGACAGGATACTACCTGCACATGGAGGCGTCACCCATGCTGCCCGGTCAGAGTGTCCGGCTGCTGTCCCGCCCTCTGAGGGGCTCGAGGGGGCCTCAGTGCCTGCGCTTCTACTACCATATGTACGGCTCCAGCACGGGCCAGCTAAGCGTTCACCTCGACAAGGATGGAGAGGACGTGTTGCTGTGGCAACGCAGTGGCGAGCAGAGCATTGCCTGGCTGAGGGCCAGAGTAGAGTATCAGTGTGACAGCCAGCATCAGGCAAGACTGGGACCAAATCTCTCCAAGCTGTTTTTTTTTTATTATAGATCATTTTATATTTTAAGTCTGTGGGCTGGACATGTGCGACTTTGACTAGAGCAGTGGTTCTCACCCTGTTTGGCTTAAACTGAAACATAGTCACAACTCACAGGCTGCTACAGGCTACTAAGTGGTAAACACTACAACTAAAGTACGTAGCCTGGACCAATGCCACAGGAAATTTACAGTTCAGGCTATAAATGTGTCATAAAAATTAGTTATTGGCTTTTCTCAGAGCATCTGTATCTTTAGAGGAACCACAGCTTTAGACATTCAAAATCTAAGAATTTGAATTGCCTTCATCACTAAGCCTGACTGACATATTGGATGCTTTCCATTTGGCTTAAATGGATCCTTCACAGAATCTATAGAAACAGCACAAACGCACAAACTCTCTGTGAACGACTGCAGGTACAGTAAGTGAGTGTGATATTGTTTTGGTTCAGGCTGGATATTATAGGACTATTAGCAATTGTGACTTAGTTGCTATTTGAAGTATTAAGTATTTGGACCAACTTTTTCCTGGATGAGCCAAGATACACATGGAGCCAAAGATAAAAAAAGAGAGAGAGTGTGTGTGTGTGTGTGTGTGTGTGTGTTGGTGGGGGGGGGGGGGGCTTCTGTAAAGAAAAGTTAGGTGAAGTTGTAAAAGTGTTTAAGATTTATTGATGCTGAGGATTACATACACATTTAAGAATTTTTATCTTATGAATCAATGTCATGAATAACCACAGAGCCGCTGTTGGTGCTGTTATTCCATGTCAAGTTTGTAGTTTCCACAGAAATCTGGCCTGCTCCTTTTACTATCTGAAAAGCTTCTATGTTGCAGTCTGGAAAAGAAAACATCTGCTGAGGATACACCTGCGATAGCTCTCTCTAAGCTCCTCCAGGAGCCTCCTCTCCTCGGTGCTGGTACAGGGTTTTTGTCAGTTATGGCAGATCCTTGATCCATTTCTGAGTCACTTGCTGGAGGATGGAGGAGCAAGGATGGGAGTAAGAATGAGCAGAATGGAAAGCACCGTCTTACTCTGTTTTGGGGGCTTAAATAAGATGCTGCCACAACAAAGGCTGCTTCAATTGTTAGTGGGCAAGCTAACAATTGTGAGAGCTTTTCAATTCAAAAGTGAGGCCAGCTTTTCAATTTTCCCATAAAGATGTCTCCTGAACTCTCAGTGGTAAACATTCAGTATTTGCTCTGCACATTTGTCGTTACCTCTTCCTTTTACTTATTTTAATCTGCGTCACCTTGACAGAGCTCCGCTTCTTGACTCGCACGTAAAACAGTCCAAATCACATGCTTCAGGCTCTGATTCTGTTGCCTTCTCTCAGCTGATTTATTTATACTTCATAACACATCTCTAGTGTAACGTGAGGTCAAAGACTCTCTCACATGTTTCAAACATGTTTGCTGAGACAAGACCAAAACTCAGTCCCACCCCTTCCCTCTATCACAGCTGATCATCATCTGATTAATCACAACAAATAATAGATCCAATGACAAATCCAAAATGATTAAGTTAGAAGGATTTACATCAGCTCAATTAATTAACGGATTTGCGAAAATATAATTAGTATTAAATACAAAAAATGGCTCTAACAGCATCCATGCAGCCAACAGGAAGAATGATCTTTTCTCTCGGGTCACTATCAGACCTTTGTAGAGGTTTGCTCTCCACTGCTTTCTTGTTGGATCAATATGAGACATTAACATTATGTGTGTTTCTGTCCCATAAAATATCTGGCAACTTCTAAAAGAATCTGAATTATAATTGTTTCTCTTTTGTCTCTTTGAACCAGATTGTGTTTGAAGCAACCAGGGGTTCATCAGTGAGAAGTGACATCGCCATTGATGACATTGTCTTTGAAGGTGGACCTTGCCCAGGTAAACTGAGGCTGAGGATTAAACATCCTACAAAGATATTAAAACAGTCGGGAAGTCATTTAAGATCTGTAGCAGCCTCCTGATTTCTTTCTTCCTCCTGCAGAAAACGAGATTCGGGCCACCGTGGGAACCTCCAATGAGATTGAGTAGAGGGGAAGAGGAGAGCCGCTGTGTAGGATGCATGAACATTGTTATTTTTGCACATTACAAACCAAAGCATTGTCCACTCCTGACTCCTACATGTCAATCTGAACTTGTAGGAATGAATTATGGGTAAAACTTTTCATGTAGTTCTACTTTCATGGAGCAACACATATCAGTTGTGTCATAGTCAGCATTTCTCTCTGCACTGTAGCAACAGAGAGTGTTAAACTGTGTTTGTCTTCACATTTATATGCATTAGATTAATGCTCATCGCTCAAATAAAGTGAGACAGTTATTCAACATGTCTTTCTGTTTTTCTTTTCATCATTAACTGCTGAGTTCAGATTCACTCACCAGGTGGGAAAACAGCTTAGCCTGATCTTCAAATGAGAAAGTGTAGTGTCTTCTCATTCCTATGGAAATATACGTTAGATGAAGTAATCTGCAAACACTGCCGTGCACTCTGAGGAAGACAACGGTTAAAGGAATAGTTCAACCTCTTTTTGTTTTGGTACTTAACCAAAATGCGTCTTTAGTACATAGTATTGAAAACTCATTGAAAACTCATTCTCTTATTTCTTATCCGCTGATCAGGCAGTTTCTGACTAAAATTTTAATTTTGCCGATTTAGACAAAGTTCTTTTATGGTTGCTTGTGTTTAGAAAACATTCATCATTTTGTGTAATGAAAAAAAGGTTGCTTTGCATCATCACTGAAACTCAGACGTCATGACACGAATATTGAAAAATTTGGACCAACTTACACTTACAATGACACAGAGCATATGTTAACATACAAAGATAATTATTATTATTGTTATGGATGAGACGAAAAACTGAATTTAGTCAGAACTCACCGCTCAGAACTCACAGCTGCAGTCACTGTATCCAAGTATTCGTAGGCATACAGAGCAGGAGACCTACAGATCACAACTGCAGGTTGAGGCTCTGCTTGAAGAAAGGCTCCGAATAATTTGCCCTGAAGATAACATATCCACGTAATAAAGGCGCACGACTTAAAGACAGATATTTGACATATTAAATATATATAAAAAAACATTTGATGATGACAATGCTAAACTAGTGATATTTTACAGTTGTATAAAGAACTTGTCAGTCCTCTCTGGTAGACAAACTATATAAAAATACTTTATTTCTGGCATTTCTGTGATTCAGTTTCGTCTTTGTTACTGATCGACAGTAACTACTGGTCTATCACAAAGCATCTGACACATTTCTCCAAAACAAAATAACTACTGTGTTCTCACATCGTCACGTGCACAGGCTCTCTAAATTTTTCCTTAGAAATAAGATTAAAAAGATGTCATATTCCTATTCCTAAGGCTTCGTCTACCAGAAGCCATACGGATCAGCCTGTTTGATTACTCCAGCCTTAACAGGACCCTTAAATGTGGTTTCCTGAACATCAGATCACTGTCCAGTAAAGCATTATTAATAAATGACTTGATTCTTGAGCATAAGATGGATATGATTGGTCTCTGTGAACCATGGCTTAAACCAAATGTTATCCTTCCTCTTAATGAGGCTTCCACACCTGATTATACTAATGCACATGCTGCTCCAGCCACTAAGCAAGGTGGGGGTGTGGCTTTAATATATAAATCAGATTTCAGGCTAACAACTTAACGGGAAGTGACCTTTAACTCTTTTGAGGCTCTTACACTGAAATCTTCTTCATCAGCTAAGATTAGCCCTCTCCAGGATGACAGACTACAACCATTTCATCTTATGGTACTTTACAGACCACCCGGCCCTTATTCAGTATTTACAAGAATTTGGTGAATTTATCTCAGGTCTTGTCACTGACACCGACGTCATTCTAATTATTGGTCACTTTATATTCACTTGAATAAGACCTGTGATCCTCTAAGTACTGCTCTACTACTCTAAGTATCCTCCAACTCACTGCAATGGCAACACTCTAGACTTGATCCTATCCCGTGGAATAGAAGTATCTAGTCTGACTGTCTCTCCCGTCAAGTCTGCAATCTCTGATCACTTTTTTATCAAGTTTGAAGCAACACCAGCCTGTCCTCACATTACTAGCTCAAATGTATTTACCACAGGACACATTGGTCCAGCAACTGTAGCTGCTCTTGCTGAGAAACTACCGGAGGCCCTCGCTCCCTTCACTTTAGCAACTGACTCTGTCGAAATTTTTACTAGTAAATTAAACACAGCTCTGTCTAGCTTCTTGGACTCAGCTGCTCCTCTCACCAATAAAACCAGACGGTTAAAGAGGTCGTCACTGTGGTTTACTGAGGAAACACGGGCCCAGAAGCAGGCCTGCAGGAGATTGGAGCGTAATTGGCGAAAATCAAAATCTGAAGCACTCTACTTTCAGCAGCCTACTTCTCTCAGTTAATCAGTAACAATAAACACAATCATAGATAGAATAAACTCACTCAGCAGCAGCTGTCTCTTAGCTGCTCGCCCTTTACAGCCCATGATTTTCTAGACTTTTTCAGTAATAAATAGACAAGATTAGACATAAAATCGGCTCTTCTTCTCTAGCTTCTACAGAACCAGCAGAGCATTACATTGAGTCCCTGTTAACTTCTCCTTTAACAAATTTTGAGACTCTGTGTCTTGAAGCACTGTCTAAGCTGGTGTTGTCTTCTAAACCCACCACCTGTCTACCGGACCCTCTACCAGCTAAGCCTCTGTGCTCTCTCTTTCTCTCCCAACACAACCGGTCGAGGCAGATGGCCGCCCACCCTGAGTCCGGTTCTGCTCGAGGTTTCTGCCTCTTAAAAGGAAGTTTTTCCTCGCCGCTGTCGCCTAGCGCTTGATCTTGGTTGGGAACTGAATTGTTGGGTCTCTGTAAATAATGTTATAAAGAGAAGGTCTAGTTCTGCTCTATTTGGAAAGTGCCTTGAGATAACTTCTGTTGTGAATTGGCGCTATACCAATAAAATTGACCTGACTTGACATACACACTGATACCGGCTGGTATCGAGGTCAACACAGCTCAGACATGAACAAAATAAGTATGAAAAAGATCAGATGGTGATAGGGCCCAATAAGGAAAATACCACAATAAAGAAAATGTGTGAATTTTAAGTAAAAAAAAGTCACTTTCTTCGTTGTAACAGGTAACACTGAAGTAAAACTGACAGAACTGCAAATATCAAAGTCAATTAACCGCTGAATGTGTAAAGGAAGGGAACACGTAGAGCACTTATTGTGCACACAAACATACAATGACACGATGATAAAAGCAATATATTCAGATTTATTTAAACCGCATACATACTGTACATTTCAAAAACAATCACTAAAGTTTCATTTGGTCCCACAGGTTGACGTTACATTATACATGTCCCATCTTTCAGGTATTTCATCGACTCCATCTGCTGCGTCATTGCCAGAACTTCATGAAACCCGGTGCTGAGTCCTGACATGTGCTGGAAGTACGCCTCCTTCTCCACCTGGACTGACAGATTATTCACTCCTGCGTCTTTCAAAATGGCCGTTACCTACGAATGAGGAGAATTACATAGTCAGACAAATCAGGACTATTTACACTGTAACCACGGAGAAAGTTTCATGGAGAATGAATCGTGACTCTTCTGTTTGTACCGACCTGCTGTATGATCCTCTGCTCCACCACATCTGACATGATCTGCAGGTGGATGGTCCCTGCGATCATGTTGGCTGAATGCCTCCAGAAATGAGGGTCTCTGTACGACAAAACTCCTTCAATCTTCTCGATCTGGAACAAGGAAAACTGAGCTTTAAATATCAGCAGATTTTTTTTTTCTGTTACCAAGGCTAATGATGATTATCAAGAATGTTCCTGAATCAAATTACAATGTGATGTACACCATGTGATTGACAATCAAGAAATATTGGAAATTTACTCTAAGTTAAAAAAACCTTCATAGTGCAGACCTCCACTAACAGTTTACAATTTATAAAATCTGTATCCAGATCACCAGAAATGATGAGCAATCATGGAGGCCATGCCAGATTTTCTTTGGAATCCAGAAAATAGAATAATTATTTCATCGTCTCTATAATAAGAGAACATGTATGATCACAGCTGACAGAAACTTAAAAAATAAATGACCAAATTAAATTAATACGCAAATTTATTATTATTAAGTTTTAATCAGACCAGCTACTCCATATGACGACCCTGAGGTGTAAAGTATGAAGTTTCTACTATGTATCATTCTTGAGTTGTCGTGTTCACAAGAATGTGTCTACAGAGTCACAGGCCCCAGGATGACAAAATAATTACATTAAATAATGTAATAATAATAATAATTATATAAAATTTTAGATATCCTGCAAGCAACCGAACAGGAGTCCAAACACATAACATAAAAAAGCATCAGATTCTACTGATTTCAAGGGTTAAAAGAAAAGTTCAACATCATTTTTCACACAGAAATGTTTTCAGGCTGTAATCATCACACAATGAAAAGCTGCCACCAAACTACTGCATGTCCTGCTGATGTCCTATATCTGTTTTTCCTCTTATTCTCCTCCTATTTTATCTGGTGTTTTACCATTGCTTTTATTTGATATATTTTCATTTTAATTCTTTCAATTGATTTTATTAACTTGATTGTGAAGCACATTGTGACTAGTGTCTGAGCTATTTAAATCAACTTTGCTTGCTTGCAAAATGCTGTAATATAAATACAGTCAGTCTGATTGGCAGTAAAACCAAGAACTGTTATAGGAAAACCGCAGTAACGTCGTTCTCATCTCACCTTCCCCAGTGCACTGTTCAGCTCCTTCTCTTGTTCTGGGGGAGTTCGTAGAAGAAGAACCTCACAGGCGTCCTTCAGCAGAGGGATGACACTGAGGAAAATTAGCGTGGCGATGAAGAGCGAGCAAATGGGGTCAGCGATCAACCAGCCGAACTGCCGGATGAGGATGGTGGAGATGATCACACCGACGCTGCCTAAGGTATCAGCCAGGACATGAAGGAAAACACCTGGAAGAAAAAAAAATGCATGAGGACTACATCTGGTTAACACTTCCTTTCCACTTGGGTTTATTTCCGTACTCTTCCCTAAACACACACCTCTCATGTTAGCGTTCATGCCTCCACCCACTGAGCCATGGGAGTGCCCGTGTCCTCCGTGCCCGTGTCCTCCGTGCCCGTGTCCGCCGTGCCCGTGTCCTCCATGAGAGTGGCCGTGACCTCCGTGGCTGTGCTCGCTGTGGGAGTGGCCGTGGTGCGAGTGGCCGTGGTCATGTGAAGAGCAGCTTTTGCCGCCGTGGGCGTGGGCGTGGGCGTGACTGAA